TGCGAAGGCATTTGCCGGTAAAATGCGCAAAACGAAGCCTTTAAGTACTCAAACGAAACGGGTTTCGTTGCCACAGATACTCCACATGCAAATAAGTGAATAAATAGATACATATTCATACTCTATATGTGTGTATTTAGATAGGTGAATAGTATGTAGATAGTATGCGAGTTTGGCTGAATAAGCGAGTGGATTCCTATTTAGATGGATAGATCGGCGCACGTATGCGGACTCCATTTGTCACTGGGTCTCAAAGCCTCAACAAAGCCCAGACGACAGTATTATTTATTCGATTTTCATTCATGTCAATTTTTTTTAATTACTTATGCAACCCAAATCGAAAGACCCGTGCATTTGCACCTACAAAAGGTAAACAAATACAGGTGGTTCGGTTCGGTTCGGTCAGTTCAGGTGGCTATTTCTTGTTCTCTCATTTTGCGACCACTTGCCAGGGCAAAAACTAAAAATATCAGAGAAGAATTCTAAAAGCAGACACTAAAATGCTCTTTCTTTGCTCTTCCTTTGGAAATTCCACGCAACATTCTGGTTCAGTCTTGCTATGAGTGAGTGTTATCTTATCAAAACGTACTCTGAATAAGTACATAATACTCAAAATAAGTACTTGAAATCTCAAAACCAGAGCACACAAAACTCTTAAAATAAATTCGAGGCGACAGGCAAAAATATGCACATGACACAAGGAAAACGTGACGTCGCTTTAATACCCCTTAAATATGTACATAGCTGTTTTTATGACGCGGAAAGGGAAAATGCCTAATTTTCGTGATATGAGTGCATTCTGATCAAAACTCACTTAAAATTAGTACATAAACCTAAAGACTCAGTTGAATATAGAATACGTGGAAGTGAAATATTTATACACATTTTGCAACGCATAACTCCAAACTCTTTGTGTACGAGATTAAATTATGCACTTACATATTTTTTTTTTTTTTTTGTTTGAAAAAACTGCATCTTTTGTGAGGCACTGACCTACACATAAATGCGCTTTTAATTTGATTGCGCAACAAAAATAAGAGAACAGGTCTGCAAGGTACACATGCACATATGTACATACATATGTTCATAAATAAAAGCAAATTGCACTGCAATTAGAGAAACTGCAGGTGGTTGAACGGGGAGGAGTACAGCAGCGGTCAGAATGGTAGCACTCAACAAATACTCAACACTTTTAAATGATGTATAAAAATACATTAGAAACACTGTACTTCTGCATTTAAGACGTAAGTTATAATACATTCATTTGAGGCGGTCGGTTTTGGACCACCCTTTACCAAGAAGAAAATCTTTGCAAGATGAAATGTTTTCTAAAATCAAGATTATTAGAAACTAAACTGTACAGTTAATAAATAAAATGTTCATAGCTTTTGGGATTTTTTCCCATCTAGTCCTATTATTGTGACTGCAACTATACTTATGCTGCGCTGGTGGGTCAAGGGGGGGTTTCTGGACCGGCTTCGCTAATTAGATGTTCAAAACGTCCCGTCAATAGACAATAACAATGTGGAGACCCATTCCTCTCCGCTCCGCCTCCCTCCTCAGACCGATCTTCTTTACTCTCCACTTGGCGATTCTACACGACGTTTTCCGCCGACTGCCAAGGTTAAAACTATAAATAGATATGGAGAAAAATCAACAACAGCAGCGGACAACAAAAGCAACAACACAGCGAGCTGCAAATTCTATTTTTAGCTGACGGCAGCGAGAGACCGACTGTAAAGAGTAGATGAAAACTTGAAACGAAAACGAGACACGAAAAATAAATAAACTTGTGCCAAAGCCGAACTCACAATGCTCTCAAGCCAAAGAAACGGCTTTGAAATAGATTATAAATTTTGAAAGAAACGAGAAAATTCACACCCATTTCAACTTATCTGTAATCAGATTTGTGTTTTGCGTATCTCAATGTATTTGCGCTACTTAATGTAGCGCATTTTTTAATGCACCTTAAAGCTGTAAGTCCATAAAGCATATAAGCTCTAACTTACACTTTAATGATCTGCACCCTGGGGTAAACAACAACTAATGATAAGTTCTTTGGCAAACATTGTAAAGATAGCTGTGCTAAGCATAAAAAGTTTTCTTTTCTATTTTTAGCGGGCTCAAAATGACCTACTATCACCGAATTTGTGATAGTTTGTTTGGAATGAATAATAAAGGCAGACATCCTTGGACAGAAAGCAGTTGTACTTGAGAGTTCAACAATTTTATAATTCGATTATAGTGCTCAAGTTTATCAATGCCTTCAATACAATTACCATCTACTTGCTACATTTATCATGCAACTTACAACTGGTTGCCCCGAAAGATACGAAAAAGAGCTGACACGCAGCATTTCCCGATTCTGTTGCCTCAGCTGGCGGTTTTGGCCCAGTTAAAAGCTTTTGGCAGCAGCGGCAATGGGTCAAATTAGAGTGCCCCCCCACCATTCCGAACACCCTAAGTCGAGTGGAACCGATTCCGATGTACGTGACAACGCACACACGCACTCTCGAGAGAAAAGGCCACTGACAACCGGGTGGGAAAAAACAAACAAACGCACACGACACGCACTCTCGAGAAATCGAACTTGGGGACTACGTCACTACGAAAAGTTTCCGCCTCGACGTGTCTCACCCCCCACAATTTTCCCCGCCCTCTATCGATCCATTGGATGCAGTGTTTTGTAGTATTGAAAATGGTTGTAGTACACAGCGAGAAACGCATGACTTATGTTTGTCTACAATCCGAAACAGTAAAAACCGCCTAAGTTATTTTTTTTTAGAAAAAAGCTTGCCTAGCTTAAGGCGCGGCTTAGAAAATGCAACCCCGTATTCCCCTAATATTCCAGTTGCAAAATGTTTGTGTTGTAGCGAATACGATATACCCCTTACTCTACAAGTAGTCCGTACAAAAACCGCACATTTCCTTCTTTCGGCAATAGCCGAGTTAGCTAGTAAGGGCCAAGTTAGTTGGTATGTATGCCCACAAGGTTTTTGGCCATCTGATGATCCATCCATACGCTGTGGTGATGCACTTCACTGCTTTTATGTGCAAATAGAAGACAAAAGGAAGGGTAAATGAATGGGCTTTGGGAGCTCTTCCTAAGCTGATGTGCGTGATTTGTTGACGCTTTCAGGGTTTAATTACAGCAGAAACTTCATGTTAATTATGTTAGGTGTGTTGCTCGGGTAAATTGAGAAATCAAATGCACTTCTCCAACTGCACTTTAAAGGTGCATTTCCCATTGGATTTCCAAATTGAAATGCTCATTTTCACTGAATAGAATTCCAATTTTAATTGGGCATTGTTTGTGGCAATTTAATACGGCCCAGCCAGCACGTCACTATCAAATATTTGCACAAGCGAAAATTTCTAGCGCTGCTATAAATACAAATATCAACCGTGCTCCCATTTTCAAAGCGAGCTATTTTATTTTTAGGTGCTCCACCGAGAAACTTGCAATTTTTATATCAATTATTTATATTTTTCAGCTACCTCTGCGATTTCCGAAAGGCAATCAATTTATTGCATACAAAAATTTGCATACCAATTTTTCCGAATGTCTTTGGATTTATTTTAGTATTTGGGAAGCGCTAAATTGCGGAAGCAGGAAGAAAATTATATTTCATTTAGTGTTTTTTTTTCGTTCGCTTTTCAGTTTAAGCCTAGGTAATAGTTAATATTGCTATTTACAATAATTATAGGAGTTTAAAGGAAAGAGTGAATCATATACGAGTTTTACAAACGAGACGAGCGGTTTTGTTTGGTAAGTTCGTGGCCAACCTCTTAATGCCATTTGTTCCCCACTATCGAGTGTTACCCGTGCTCGATCACATGTTTGACTCTGTTTCGAACTGAATCGAAAACAAATCATTAAGCAATAAACATCCATTCCCATCAATCAATTCACCTGGCCTGTGACGAATTGACTAGAATTGGGCTTCGTGCCGAGTAACTGAGACGTCGACGAAAGCCCAACTAGTAACCATAATATTAGTTGCAGTCGAAAGATATCGCGCACGACTCCAACAAGGATCGAAATAATGGTCTAATAGCCGCGGAATAGATAATTATTTAGTTGGCACGCAGCGTGCGGGGGAAGAGAATGGCGAAACAGCATAGCGGAATGCCATACTCACCACAATTCACAGTTCGGAAGGCGGAGAGAGAGAATCCCAACGAGATTCAGATTGCTCTCTGAAATAAACCGGCTTTGATATAAATAATATCGCTCTCCGTTTATTTATCTTTAGACAAAGTCATTGGGTGTCCGAATTCAATAACTATCTTTGTAGTTGCGGACAGACTTTTCTGAACTGCAATTTATAGTTGAGTTTGGAAAACGTGATTATAACAATAGTAAATTACTATTAATAATAATATATAGCAACTTTACCAGTTGAGTGGCGTAAAATTCTTGGTTTATTTACAATTTGTGAAAAATGTAAACACAAATTTCAGGTTTTATGCCATTTCTAATGGACTGTAATATGAACGGTGGACTGGGATTGCAGTTTTGCGCGCAAAATAAAAAGTTGTAATTCCAAATTTGACGGCAATGGAAATCAATGTTCTGAGTAAATATCATATAGCGAATAACAGGTTTTCTGAATCTTCTTGGTTTATTGGCTTGCACACTAAATAAGTAATAGAAATGCACAGTCATATGCACACAATAGTTATGAGCATTGCTTGTTGATAGCAGAGAAATCATTTTCTTTGTGATTAATAAATTGGCATATTGCTGGTCTGTAGCACTCGAGCCAAGCGGTTTATGATCTATGCACTTTCGCATCACTTACAACATTTTTAAAAACCTTCAGATTTGTGTATGAGCTGCATTTCGACCAATGTACTGTAACGATATGCAACATTGTGTGCTGGCGCTCTCTCACACTGTTAACGCTGGGTTAACAGTGCGTGAGCGGAGCGAAGAGCGCCGATGGCGAGAGATGAGAGCAAAGTCGGCAGAGCCTGGGCAGAGCTCGGGCAAAGGCATATAAGGCGACGTGCTCGACAACATTTGTATTTGTAATAAGCAAACCAGCGAGCGGATAAGACGGAATACCTGAAGAGCAGCAGTGAAAAACACGAAAAGCCAGAAACCAAAACCCAAACCGAAACAACTCGAACTTCGTGAGCAGTGGCAAACTGAAAAAGAAACTGAAACAAAAAACACAAGAAACCAAAAGAACCAGCAGTAGCGAAACGAAGCGTAAATAAACAGAGCACATTGAAAGAAGCACAAAAGACAACAAATTAAAATAAAATCCAACGCAGACGGCGAGAGAAAAGTTATTCCGGAAAACGCGCGGAAAAGTGCATTTCGAATTTCATTTTTTTTCGAGTGAAAGTTGGGCGGCCCAGGCCCAACAACGCCCACAATGAACCGTTCGAACAGCTTTGTCAGCTCGCTGAAATGGTGGCCGCAGCAGGGTCACAACAACCAGCCGGTGGCGCCACCTGCCGTCGGCAACGGCGGGTACTCCCAATCGGCGCCCAGCTCGCCCACCTCCAATTGGCCACCGCCACTGCAGCAGCATCAGACCGGCACCACAACCGGCACCGCCCACCGCCTGCTGCCGTCCAGCGCACAAAAGAGTGGGGTTGGTGGCACCACCGTGGGCGCCACATTCGGCAGCAGTGTGGCGGTGCAGAAGCTGCGCGAATCCAAATGGTTCAAGCCCGAGGAGCAGCGCATCTTTTGCGCCGTCGTCGAGTGCGGATTTGTGGTCGAGATCCGCAGCAGCGCCGCAGCCGAGGCGGCCGCAGCAAACGCAGCAGCAGCGGCCGCAGCAGCCGCCACCGGTGACAATGACCTCGACGTGGACTCTCTGGAGGAGCTCGACTGCCCACTGACCAGCCACCCAACGCCGCCACATCACAGCCACAGCCACAGCCAAATCCATAACCAATCCCAGCGGCTGGTCATCCCGCGCAACGGGAGCAGTTTCCTGGAGACGCAGGACGAGAACGAGACGCCTGTCGCCTCCTGGTATGGAATCGTGCTCTGCAAGGTGGCCAAAGGTAAGTGTTTCGGGGAAAAACACTCGGAGAAAATGCGCGCACCCTGTGCACTGTGAAAATGTCGCTTCTTTTCCAGTGCAAACATTACGAAAATGCGAACAAAATCTATATTTACACAATTTTTCAGTGCTATTAAACTGGGAAATAGTATAGATATTGATAGATCTGAATAGAGCATGTACAAAAATAATTGTCCATTTTCGTTTTGTTCATATCTTTTGATAAGTAGTACAAAATAAGCCACAAAAAATGTGCCGCCTTATCGCATTAAAAGCGCAGATCAATTGAATGTTTACTCTTCTCATATATTTTTGATAAGTGCATAATATAAAATTAGTATTAATATTTAAAAGAAATCTCTTCGTTTCACACTTGAAAGTTTTTATCAGATTTCCAACAAAAGTCATCATAGTGTTTTCAGTGCACAAAGCAGAGAGATGCACTAAGTTATATTTTTTTTTGTTGTCTTTAATTGAAGACTGATAAGGTGAATTTCCAAAAGGTTTTGGGTTGAGGTAAGGGCAAGTTTAAAAGGTTTTTTAATTAAGATAAGAGACTCTTACGTCTTTGGACGAAATAGGCGTCGTTAATCTTATCTGTTATCTAAATAGTTGTACGATCCCCAACACTTTGTTCAGATTTCATTATTACATGCAAAAAAGCCATGGTTCTTGATCACATGCACTTCTTATATGCAGCAAGCGTTGCTGGCATTGTGTTATCTCATTAATGTGCTTGTATATTAAGTTGTTGAAAACAATGTTGATCCCATAAAACCTTATATTCTTAGAACTGCAATTCAAATTGGTTCGGATCATCGCCAACCACACACACACACCCATGTTCTTGTTGAGCTAAACTATTTTAAATTGTAGTTCCTTTGATTATTACGCGATTGTCCTTTATAGTCGAGGCGCCACTGTACTCTACTCCTCTTCTTTAGACAGCAATTAAAGTGCAGAATTACCTGCTCAACTTTTTCGGCTGATGATTAATCACAAAACTTCGGACGTCAGAGAGCCATTAAAACTAATCTATGGTTTTGTCTTGGTCGAGAATGTCTGAATTGTAGAATGTCATTCAATAAACAAACATTACACACATGCGCACTTTCTACAGCGTACACACACACACACCACTCAAGCCAAAGTACCGTGCTTTTATCTAATCGCAAAGAGAATCCAGTGCCAGCAACAACAAGAACACCAAAGAGCTTATCAAATGCGACGCTGACAGCGCAGTTGAAGTCAGCGTCGGCAGCGACCATTCACAATGCTGCGCCGACAGCTGCTAGAACATTCCAAGCATTGAAGCCCAAAAAACCCCTAAAACGAGGCTGAAAACAAAAGAGGTGAAACATGGAGAAGAGAGGAAAGAGTAAACAAGAAACGGAACCGAAAAAACGAGTTGAAAACGAAGAGTAGGCTTATGCACACCCGTTTACCACAGTTCACTGTACCAATAGGACGCTACAGTAAAACCGAGCTAGCAATGATTGGCAGTTAATCCAACAAGAGAATGGGAAAACCTGGGAGGAATAGAAAATCTGAAAAGATGTGAAAGATAATGGTTGCGCAGCCGGGTCTTCACTGTGTGTGTGTGTTGGTGAGTGCGCGAGAGTTAGGTGGCATGTGGTGAGTTTCGGCTGCAGAGCAACACATACTCACCACGCGCACACGACTGTTGCATCTCGTGTGCCGGTCTAAAAACACACCGCACTTTGCATATGCAACACAGCAAGGCTCGCAAAAATAGTGCTGCTCCTAAATATATGAATACTATGATCCTAATTTTCTGACTTTACTAAGTACTTCAATTATTACCTCCTTAAATATTCCAAAAATATGTATTTTCATTTATTGAAAATTAAACAATTTTAAAAATGTAAGTTTAATTTACCAACTACGCACAACATAATAGTTATGCTTGAAACAGAGAGCATGATGAATTAGCACATTTGATTGATTCCGACCTAATGAGACTCTGGAAAGCCGATTATTGCGGAAGCCCGTTGCCAAGGGATCCACTTTTGATTCACCTTGAAGATAATGCGTGACCGTGCTTCGGACCCATTAACTTAGCCGTTATTAAGCATGTAGGAAGTGCAGGTACACAGTATGTGAATATGTAAATATTCGTGATAATGAAAGCGGTTTTGCTGGCCGCCCAAAGGGCTCAGTGCAGCTCAATCAATAAAACGCTGCACACTGCGGCGCTAATCGGTCTCCATGCCACTTGGGGCAACCACTGATGGTTGTCCAGCGGCAAATTACCCGATTACTATATGTACATATAGGTAGTATATACATTTGTCCAAATAGTCAAAGAAGTGAAAATCAGGCCCTGCGCATGCGTGCTTATCAACGATATTTACAATGGAACCCATGACACGTACAACAAAAAAGTCGCCCCCTTATTTTGTGTTTTGAAATCTGACGGGCAGTATCCACTTTGATTGATTATCTTGCATTAGAAAGCGTTGCAGATAAGCAAAAATACACTAGATAAATATATTGAGCGGCACTTCAGAAAGACACAGGTGGCATTGGTTTATTTTGATCCAACAGAAAGAAATTTGTTTTTATGAAAGCTTGGATTTCGCTTTACATTTTACTTGATATAACCCCTATCGAAATTGTCGAAAATCTATCGAAATTAAATTCAGTCAACTTTTTTGCCGGTGTACTGGGTCACAACTAAAGAAGCCCATTAAAGTAAATGGCCAACTCTGGTTGGCTTTAGTAATTTGAATATTAAATTATGCACTTACTTTAAATTAACCACTAATTGGATTTTCGTTAGCTAAAGGCGAGCTCACTGAAAATGCATTTACATATGAACATTCGAAAAAAAAGGAAAGCAAATCCTAATGGATTGTAATTAGTAAGATAATGGGAATTATAGAGTTCGTTTTCAAAATTACACAGCCACAAGCGGGCAACAATGCAAACAACTCAACCAGTCAGCCACCCACAAAGTGCTCTACACAATTTAAAAGGCCTGCAAATTGGTTGAACATGGCAGCAAATGAACGTCAACAATCTGTGTACTATATTAAAGTCGAATAATACCATTAGAGCAGGAAGAAGCAGAGGCGGCCGAGTGTAAAATCCAAAGGAGTGCTAATTATGGCATGGCACTTAATTCACAAATGCTATAACGAATTGTGCAATCAGCGATTAGAGCGGCAGCAAGAGACCCGTGATCATCCTGGTTGCCAGTGATCATGGCTATTATGTCACCTGGTTTCCCAAAGTGGAGTTCCCAGTGCTGTCAGGCATGAGAAACGATATAAAATACCCGACTTTCAAGAACGAAACATTTAAAAATGCGATGATTATATCCCATACTTATAGAGGTGTGCCCACCTTTCATCACCTAGTAACTCGCAGTTTGTAAATGTTCTGTGAAAGATCTTTCGTTGGTCGATCGAGTATGAAAACCAATTGAGTATTATTATTAACTGATTTGTTTTGCATTCCGGCATTTGAGCGCACAAATATGCATATATGCATATATGCATATTTGTATGATTGCTGCACCTGGTTTGGTAAATTGCCTGAATTGATGTTAATGGAATAGCACGCGCACGTCTAATTGTATTTCCCCTGATCTTCGATTCGATTGCAGACAATAAACCCAAGCCAGAGACCATTGAGATATTTTCTGTGAAAATACGTGAGAACGGCACATACAAGCTCATCAAGATGCAACTGGCGGATATCTGGAGTCACGGATGGGAGCTGCGCATCAATAACTTTGCCGACAAGGAGAAGGTGCCACACAACGAGAAGGACATTCGCAATCAGGTGAGCTTATGGCTTGGGGCGTAACTAGCGCCTATGAATATGCTTTCAAGTTGGCAACATATGCAGATGTTACGCCAAAGTATCTATATTGTTGCAATGTGTCTAAACCCATTCCATTACTTGCAGGTGTCGGTGGCGCGCAAAGCCAAGCAGAGTTTGTGGAACAACAATAAGCATTTCGTGTACTGGTGCCGCTACGGAAGTCGTCAGCAGGACTTGCGGAAGCGACAGGTAACGACGAGTGCCAATCATGTGCTGCTGCACCTGATCAATTGATAAGTCAGCCGGCGATTGAATGGCTCATCTGGCCCAGGAAAAAATGAGAAATGAGATATAGAGGCGATTGAAGCGCCGACACAAAACCCATCCATTTCCTGCTCCTGCTCCTGCTACTGCACCATCCTCCAACCACCACCTCCCCCGCCACCCGCAATGTGCATTGATTGTTGTAGTTGCAGCAGCAAAAAAAAAAAAAAACAAAAAAAATAGGAAAAACATCCTGCGAGGCAATGTAAAATCATGAAAAAAATCACACATAACGACCAAATCATCATACTCAAAACTAGAACGCAACGTGGACAAAAAAACGAACTGAGGAACCCGGATAAAAAGAACCATTCACTTTTCTAGGACCCCGATCCATACGCACAACCATTATCATCGCCATCCAAGAACCGATTCATGCTTGCTTTGCTCATACAAATTCGCCAAAAGAAAACCCTGAGAATTTTCCCGCAACTGAAGCAGTAGAAGCCGAAGAATGCATCCAAACCACTTTACCCACATTTTGCGTGAAACTCGATCGATCATCTTTCTACCGAAAGAATCTAGTATCTAGATTCTGGATTCTATTTTTCTGTAAGACTGCAAACTGCCCACTCAATGTTAATGATCTTTATATGTGTGCCACCAAAAGCCGTGCGCCTGCTTGTTCGATTTACCATCTCGTCAAGATGATGCTCTTCTTGATCCTCCCTCTATCAATCAATTTCAGTTAGATTTTCCGGCATCAAGGGCCCAAGAACGTTGGGTCTGCCCGCATGTCGGTGGGCTCAATGTCTGGGTAAATTGACTGGATTATCTGGCGAGTGAAATGCGAGATTGGCCAAGTGTGGCGAAGATCGGGGAAGTGGGCCATGGCTGCCATTGGGCACCTAGCAACTGAAACCTCCCATTCTTGCGGCATTTATGTGCCTGTATATGTATAGCCGTATGTAGTCCTGCCACCTCATCGCCACCAGAGACGTACGTATTTTCTGTTTGTACACCGTGTCTTACAATCGAATCTATATTGCATTGCAGATGTCGGAGTGCGTTAAATGGGGCAGCGTGGGCATGAATGCGGGCATGCTGTTGGTGCTCAATAATCGGCAGAAATGCCATTCCCACTCCAAGTAGAACCCTCCTTGAGTTTCCATTTCAAAATCCGCACAGCACAAAGCATTGAGGTCGTATGGCGTACAAGTATTAACGTTAAATTCGGATGATAAGATAATTTATGGCTTAAGAGCGCCAAGGGCGGTGGAAAAAAACCAAATGCAAATACGCGTATTAAAGTGCAAAGATAGCCGGAAGATTCACATCAGGGCGAGGGCATTTTGGCAGTATTAAAATAATAATAATAATAATGGCAATTTAGAGCAAAGCCAGCAAATCCAGCAAATCCAGCAAATCCAGCTAATCATGCGTCACAATATACGTCACTAAACGTCACACCCCCGCCCACAAATATATGTATGATGAATGAGCTGTTGCAACTCAAGCTGCAATTTACAATTTATAGAAAATACTTTTGTATTTGCTAAACAACCATTGTGTATATGATGACACAGAACGAGAGAGAGAGACACACACACACACACACTGTGAAATTCGAAAAGACTTATTAAATATTTGTTTGTTTTTTTTTCGTCCTAACTTTTTTGTTTTCCATGTGATTATATATTTATATACATTGTGAAAATGGCAAAGCATCTTATGCAAGGCAACCTTTTTTGTTTTCTTTGTTATTTAAGCGTAGTTAAGTAGTACCCATTAAAAATAAAAAACAAAAAAAAAAAAAAAACGAGCGACAGCTCCGCGTAGCCAGCTTAATTATTTAACAATCTAGCATTGTAAAACAATCAAAAACATTCGAAATGTTTCGTTATGTATTTAACGTGTCCACATGACCGAAAAAATAAAACAAAAACCAAAACATCTACTTAGACGACGACTCAGAACGGAAACTAAACAGAATTTCTAAGCAAAAATCGCCACTGCATTGGCCACATAAATATTTTTGTACATAAGGAACTGAAATGGACGCTCCACGGACTCTACATATACGTAATAATCAAAATCAAAGAGGATGGCAAGCCCACACAAAAGTGAAAAGATTTACAAAATAACAAAACAATGAAAAATCACAAAAAAAGCACAAAAAAAAGAAAAGAAAAGAAGAAATTCATCGCTAGTTTGTAAGCTATATATACATATATATACATTATTACTTATTTTGTTTAAGTTTTGTCTTTTTTAAGCAATTTATAAAGTATTTATGGTAGTGCGTATATACATTTCGACAATGTGAGGAAATTTGAATATGAAACGTTTGTGAAATGCTTTATATTGATATTATTATTAAATGTTTACCAACGCATACAACAAAATTAAGACGATTTTCTCGTTTTCTTCAAGGGAAACGGTTTAAATAAAGGTAGCATCCTATCAACAATAGTATTATTTTAATAATACTATTAATATTAATAATACTATTCACTTGATGGCTTCAAAAGCATTAAATGGCACTTCAGATAAAAGTATCTACTATCAATTTTAAGTTGAATGAGTTGAGACGCAAAAATGGGTAAAAACTAAACAAGACCCCAGGAATGCTTTTCGAAGGTACGGAGCACTTGGTGGCCATTAGGCAGCGGGCAGCAACTCACCTCTCGCAGCAATCCGAAGAGCACGTCCGTGGACAGGGATCGCTCGTGGGCCTCGTCCATGATGATGGCGGCGTAGCTGTCCAGTTCGGGATCCCGCAGACTCTCGCGGAGCAGGATACCATCCGTCATGTACTTGATGACCGTGCGCTCCGATGTGCAGTCCTCGAATCGGATGGCATAGCCCACATCTTCGCCTGAAAGCAGAGAGGGTAGGGATTAGGTCTGGGCAGTAGCAAGTGCTTTCAATATCAGCAGCTTACCCAGCTGGGTGTCCATCTCGTCCGAGACGCGCTTGGCCACCGACATGGCGGCCACTCGACGCGGCTGCGTGCAACCGATCATGCCGCGCTTGCTGTAGCCATCCTCGTGAAGGTACTGGGTGAGCTGCGTGGTCTTGCCGCTGCCCGTCTCGCCCACGATGATGATCACCGAGTTCTCACGGATAACGTTGAGCAGCTCTTGGCGCGAGGCGAACACGGGCAGGAAGCGGCGCTGCTCCGAGATGGTCTTTTTGCGCGAGAAGTCGCTCTTGCCGCCCGTCTCCTGGTCGCGCATGTGGTCGGCGAACTTCTGGTCCTTGCGATAGTCGGCCGTGTCCTTGTCCTTGTCAAAACGGGCATCCTCGTCGTCCTGCGGCCGCTGTACACCCATGATGTTGCCCAGCTTGGTGCCGCTCAGCTCCCAGTGCTTCTTCTGGGCCTTGCGCCGCTCCTTTTGCTCACGATAGTTGCGCACCAGGGCGCTGCCCTTCCGCGCCAACAGCGCCATATCCGAGGTGGGATCCTTGACGGGCACCACCGGCTCCGGCTGCTTGGTGAACACGATGCGTCCGTCGAGGAACGGCGGTATTATGTGATGCACCAGGAGATGCACTCGCTCCAGCGCCTCCTCATCGAAGTCGTCGTTCACGCTGATCGATGTGACCACGCCCGAAGTGAGCATGCGGTTACGCTCCCACAGCTCGTTGTCCCGGTTGTTCTGGCGCTGCTGAGCGCTGATTCTCTTTGTTCTCTTCTGCTCTAGCTGCTCCTCGCGCTTGCGGAAGTACTCGGAGTTGGCGCCGCCAAAAGGATTATTCTCATCGTCGTAGCCCTCGTCAATGTTGTACCACTCGCGGTCCAGGCGACGCTGCTCCTCCTCCCACAGATCCAGCGACTCCGGGTCCTCGCCCCAGGGCGTCGCGCCGCTTCGCTTGCGATCGTGGGCCCACTGATTGTAGCGATGTGCTGGCGTTGGCCGGGCAGTGTCATCTTGGCGTCCGTGATGCCGGCGGCCGCCACCGCTCCTCACTGACCAATCACGTGACTGGCTGCCGTGTCGTCTGGGCGTGGGCATGTCCCAGTCCGACTTGCGCTGGCTGAACTCGCCGTCCTCGTCGTCCCATGAGCTATTGGACACACCGCCGCCACTGCCGCCTGGCGTACCCGGCTCCCGTGGCGTGTGGACACTGCGCTCGGACATGGAGCGTTCACGACCACGATCTCTATCCCGGCTGCGGTGACGATCGTGTTCCCTGCCCCTGTCTCTATGGTGGCGCCTGTCGCGGTCACGTTCCCGCTCTCTGTCTCGCTCCCTGCGTCGATCACGATCCCAGTCGCGATCCCTGTCCTTGCCCTCCGATGTGGTGCTGACTGGGCCGCGTTTTCTGTCCCGCTGGATATGCTCACGCAGACGCTCGCGTGCCTTCTCGGAAACGCCGCCGGTGTGCGAGGGCGTCTCGTCCTTGTGCTCGCGCAGCTGGCCGCGCAGCTTCTCGAAGCTTTTGGTGTCCGGTTTCTTAAAGGCGAACTCACTGGAACCGATGGAGGCGTTGGCCTGCGGCGTAGAGCTCCCACCGCCGGTGTCATCGAATTCGCTGTCCTGGAAGGAGATCAGTCGCTCCGATCGCTCCTTCTCGGCACGTCGCTTGGCCGCCAGCTTGTCCAGGCCCAACAGCGATCCCTGCGGCACCTTGAACCCACCTCCACCTTGCTTTTCGCCGGCATCCTTGTGCTTCCGGATGACCAGCCCGCCGCGCGTCTCCTGGCCGGCGGTGCCCTCCAGCCGGTGGACACCGGACTCCTCGTCGTCGGACATCCTGTTCTGCTGGCCAAGTGCTGGTTAGTGCGCTGCTCCTTGGCTTTTTCGCGAGTCCTCCTCGTTGCCGCAAAAACGAATCATTCGCGTTGGCGTTGTTGGGCACAGCTGATCGGCGGGGCTGCCATCCCGCTGAAATTGCTGGACCGCAGAGATGCCACCCTGGCTGCATTGTAGCAAGAGGAAAGCTTTCGTTACACTTTCGTCTCTTCCTTTCTAATTTAAGTTATTTTGGCTTACTCACAAACGTGACTATTAAGCTTTAAAATACCGGTTTTAGAATTTTTTAAATAGTGATATTTCGGTATCTTTCGGTGGGCATAAAACAACATAGTTTTGCCACGCGAAAAGCATTTTCTTTGTGGTTTTTGGTCTATTTAGGTTGAAGTTTATACATGACGTAAGTGTAGAATTGATTTCTTTTTGGTTTTGCTCTGAGTTTCCACAAATAATAAATAATACATTAAAATTTAAAAAAAAATGTGATTTTGTTACATTTTGTTTTGTCATGTAACGATATTTTAATTGTCGTGTAACCGCGTAATAAGATGTTCGGCCCCAACGCAACAATTAATATTTATTCAGATAGGAACCAAAAAACAATAATATAATAAAATGTTTTGCTTTTCAGACAAATTACCATCTAACAAAGAGTGGCAACACTCGAAAATGCCGCCCTTGAGAATATTTGAAAAATAAGCAGTTTGCTGCCTTAGATGAGCGTTTTATTTCCATTAAAGGGATTACAAATTCGATTTAGTCTTGGCTCTCGACCTTCTTAGGCACCGTCTGTGCGATCCAATCGAGATACGGCGGATTGCCATTCTGGATGGGCAGCGAGATGACCTCGGCTACGCTGTAAGGATGATTCTCGCGGACGAACTTGCTCAGGTCGTCGATGCGGCTGGTGCGCGTCTTGACCATCATCAGATACTCGGAGTCCTCGTTGATCTTGCCCTCCCACATGTAGACGGAGTCGATTTGGGGCACAATGTTCACGCAGGCGGCCAACTTATGCTCGATGATGCTGCGGGCCAGCTTCCTGGCGGACTCCCGATCCGGCGTGGTCACAAATGCCACCGAACTGCTGCCCGCCTGGTAGACGAACTCGCCGGCTGCGGAGGATCCCTCTGCCGCCGCCGCCGCCGCTGGTTGGTGGTCGCCCATCTTGGAGCAGGCACTGGAAGTGGAATTGGAGCTGGTGGCACTGGAAGAGAAGCAGCTACTGTGGCGACTGCTCGCTGTGGCGACTGCTCGCTGTGGCGAATGCCGGCGGAATTGCGATGGCGGTGGTGACGCTGGCAGCGATCAACAGGCTGCGCACCAGCGACCAGCGAAAGGGCAAGAACCTTGCACAGATCCGATATTGCATTCAGATGCACTTTGCACGGCGGAAATCAAGACAATAAATACGAATTACAATACACAACAACGATGTGCTACAGCCGGCGACGTTGCCAGACTGCCAGCCGCTGGAGATGAGCGCTCTGGCTACCTTCCCGCCAAATGCGGCAGCTTCGAGTGCGACGCTTACATTAGGGCTGCTGCGCACGAGCCAAGTGTGGTTAACAGGTAAGCAGCATTTTAAGTGTGCATGTTAAGTGTTTTTAAGGGAAAAAGTATCCTAACCGATTTAAAATATTTTTAGGAAAATCTTTAAAAAACTTTTTTAACTATCTTTTGCCAACATTGAAAAAATAGAAAACAACTGATTTAGTTTTTGATATTTAGCCATCTTTATAAACTCCAATCACCGATTAACATTTAAATACAATATCATTTAAAGCTACAATAAATACATAGAATAATAAACAACGAACAGCGAGAAAACATTTCCTCATTTACGACACAAATCGTGCATTCGCATCATTGCCTGCGTAATTTCCGCCGAACTGTGCTGATCTGGCTGATTTGGCGGCATCGTCGTCCACGTCAGCCACCAGGATGTTCGGCACCTGCCGCCCAGCTCCGCATTCTCCTCCGCCACCGTCCAGCGAGTGTAGGTTGCTTTCCTGTTGATCGGAGGGGAATGGGAATCATCACATATCTTCCGCGGCCTTCTGACCCGACTGCGTACTCACTCTGGGGCTCTCGAGAAGCAATTCCTGAGCCATCGGATCGCCGGACGTCGCCTGCCGCGGCCGGAGCAATCGCTGGAGCGCGTTCGGCACACTAAACTGCTGAGCCGCGAACGAGGACGAGGCGCTGGTGGTGGTGAATGTGTCGTTGCTGCCGCGGCTGGATGCTGTGCCCGTTTCCGAGGCGAAACCGACTCCCGCCTCGGCGCGTTCGTGCTCCAGGAATCCTTTGGTGCCGGCGAGCGTCGCCAGCGGATTCTGGAAATGCATGTTAATGTTGAGATCCGTGTGGCCGCGCTGCCGGTACTGATAGTACATGTACCCGAGTCCGGCGATCAGTGCTCCGGCGACCAGGATGAGTAGTGCCATCAGCCAGTGAATGTGGCCGGTATGCTCCTGCTCCAATTCCATGCTGTTGGCCGAACCCAATACGGCCACCTCATTGCCGGAGCCATGGGGACACCGCTCGCCTTCGGCCACCAGCCGATTGGCGCACATGCACTCGTAGCCGTAGTCCGCCTGCAGGCACAGTCCATGGCAATGGGCATGGGCGCAGGGATGCGACGTCTTCTGTGGCTGACGCGACTTGCCCGCCACCACAATGTCCTGGGCGTTTAGCACGTTCAGGCTGATCTTGTGACAGATGCGGGATCCGTAGAGGGCACACTGCACCGCTTCCACGGAGCCCAGGTTCACGATGAAGGCATTATTTTCGTACACACTCAGCCCGGACGGGTGCATCAGAGCGTTGGACTTCTGCAGCATGATCTCCGGACGGCGCAAGGTTCCCATTTTTAACCTATAGCTAATCCTCTCCAGGGTGCGTGCATGCTGGTCCACAAAGTACAAGAGCTGCTGGTGCGGATCGGTGGTCAGGGCTGTCATGAAGCTCTCGCTGCGCTGCAGCAGCATATCCCTGCGACTGCCGTCCAGCCGGGCCATGTGGATCTCGGAGCTCGTCTGGCCATAGCCCTCGGTGCGTATAACTATGTAGAAGATCCTGCCGTGGTAGCCATCCGCAGCCAGATGCTTCACGTGCTTGGGACTCTTAACGTGCACTATTCTGCCGCACATGCGTCCCTCGAAACTGCACGCTTGGATCTCCTGCGCCCCACTCAGCACATAAACATTTCCAGTGACCCAATCCACGGAGAGTTTCGTCGGTGTCGGCAGGCCCAGGGCCCGCACAATCATCTTCGTTTGCAGATCGATCTGGTAGATGATGCCTTCGTCCTCGGCGGAAAAGTAGCCCATTTGCCGGTGCATGTCCACGTCAAAACCAGTGATCCGAGAATCATTCGCCGACCAGGCCACATTGAGCATTACGGGTTGTTCGCTCAGGTTGCGCACTTCGTTGAAGCTGCTGAAGAGCAGGGTGGCGCCGGACTGAAGGCTCTTGCAGCTAACCCGATCCTGGCGCAGCATAAAGTCCGCATGGCACTGGCACTGGAAGCCGCCGAGGGTGTTCTCGCACAGCTGGGCGCATGGCTGCTGCTCCTGGCACTCGTCAATGTCCAAACAGCTCTTCTGATCCGCGTCCAGGCGATAGCCATCGAAGCAGGAGCACACGGCGCCGGCTGGCGTGGCGCGGCACTTGTGCTGGCACACCTGGCGACCCGAAGCGGATCGGCAGGCGGTGGCGCATTTGGGACCCTCGTCATGGCCGTTGGTGCAGTCCGGAAAACTGTTGCACACCCGCGACAAGTCCACACACTCGCCGTCTTGACAGTCAAAAAGATGTGGCCGGCAGGCCCGACTCGAGGTGCTCCATGGCTGAATCTGGCTCTGATTGTGGTTACCCTTTTCCAGTTCGCAGCTCAGCTCGTCACTGCCGTCGCCGCAGTCCTTCTGGCCATCGCAGCGGAACTCCCGCCGTATGCACTCTCGACCGGAGCGGCACTTGAACTCATAGATGCTGCACACATCACCGCAGTCGGCCTCATCCTCGCCGCGGGGACACTCAGCGGTGCCATTGCAGCGCACCGCAGACGGCAAACAGATCTTTAGATTGCTCGTGCATTGGAACTGGTCCTCCGTGCAGGATATGTTCGCCGTGGATGAGTCCGTGCCGCAATTCAGTTCGTCGGACTTATCGCCGCAGTCGTTGTGGCCATCGCACACCAGTCTCCGGTCCAGGCACTGACCCAGCAGACAGCGGTGCATGTCCGGTGGACAGGTGCGATGGGCGCACTTGTCGTGCTCGTCGGATCCGTCGCTGCAATCGATCCGCCCGTCGCACTCCCAGGTGCCCGCGATGCAGGATCCGCTGCCGCACTGGAACATTCCCTGTTCGCAACGCGATGTCGCCTCGCACAGCATCTCGTCGGAATTATCGCCGCAGTCATTGGTTCCATCGCAGACCAGGCTCGAGTCCACGCACTTTCCATTGTCGCAGGCATGCTGATGGACATGACACTTCTTTGTCTTGTCTGTGGAGGAAGTGTTAGACTTATTCGTTACGACCCAAGTGCTTCTCGATTCGCTTACCGAACATCTCGCAGTGCTGCTCATCCGAATGGTCGTGGCAATCCTTGCGGTTGTCGCATCGTCGCTCCTTGTCGACGCACTGCTCCCCGCTGTGGCAGGCGAACTGGCTGGGCGAGCACATAACCTTCGGCTTGCGACGATGCTCCTCGTCGCAGTTCATCTCATCCGAGTTGTCCACGCAGTCGCGTCGTCCGTTGCAGCGGTGATTCATTGTGAGGCACTCGCCACTGTGGCAACGGAACTCACAGTCCAGAGCCTCCACGCAGGTGCGGTTGCCAGCATCACGGTAAACGAATCCGGCCGGGCACAGGCAGATCGAGTGGTAGGGTCCCTCGCCCACACAGATGTGGGAACAGCCGCCATTCTGCAGCTGGCAGGGATGCGATTCCAGGGCGGCGGGCGAGCTGGCGGCCAGCGGGATTCCATTAGGCATGGCCACGGGCACGTATGGCAGAATGGCGGCGGGATCGCCCTTCTCCATTACATCGATCACCTTTCGGGGGCCCATATTGCTCTTGTGCGTCCAGTAAATCCTTGGCGTGCCCAATTCATTCCAGAACAGATCGTGATGCACCATGGCCAGGCTATAGGGACGCCTAAGTTTGCCCCGGAAGATTTGGCTGTGCGGCACCTTGTAATTTGAGTAGCTAATCCTGCCCAGATCGCTGTCTGACCAGAAGAGCGTTTTGGTCTCGTAATCGGTGATCAGCTTGATGTCATCATCGCCCAGATCGTCCTCGAACACATGGACCTGCTCGCCCTTGCCGCTCAGCGGTATCTTGTCGATGTGGCTGTGCCGCTTGGCCTTGAGCACAACATACAGGTAGCCCTCCGCGGGCATGACAGTGAGCCCAATGGGCACCTCCTGGCCCGGAAAGAAACGGATCAGGGCACGGTGGCGCGTCTGCAGGGAGAGCATCTCAATCGCACCCCGCTCCATATCCGCCCAATACAGATTCCTGCTCAGATGGTCGAAGGCCAGGGCACTCACATTGCCCAGATTGGAGCGGACCAGGACGTTGGTCTCGTGGTGCTCTGGCTGAAACTCCAGGATCAATCGCTGGTCATTGTCCGCTATAATCAGGCTGCCATTGATGCGATTGTAGACCATTTCGTTGATCAAGCAAGGCAGCGTGTACGACTTGCTCACCTGGTGGCGGCCAAAGGCGGTGTGCTCGACCTCGAGGAGGGCCTGGCCCAGGCCGATGAACAGCCGTTGGCGCTTCTCCATCAGCATGCAGCGCTGCTGATCCGGCGCCAGTCGCATGCCATCCGGACAGGCGCAGCTGTGACCACCAATTTCGGGTTCGGCCAGCAGGCACAGGTGCGAGCACTTGGCATTTTCGCAGCCATGGGAGGAGATGGGCTGCTTGGCTGGATGATAAATGTGCACGGCGTAAATGGTACGATCCTTGGCCAGTATGCGGTGATCCTTGCCGGAGAATTTGTGGCAGGCATGCACACTTTTCGTTGCCCAGTCTGACCAGTACAGCTGATCCTCGAATATGGCCAGGCCATAGGGATGCTTCAGCATGCCGTCCAGCACCGTGCGCCGACCAGTGCCGTCGGGTCGAACCGTTTGGACGCTTCCTAACTTGGCATCCACCCAGTAGATTCTTTGCTGGTGCATGTCCAATGCAATCCCATTGGGCCACTCGATGTTGTCGCTGACAATGGGCCGCGACCGACTGCCGTCCATGGATGCGCGCCCTATCATCGGCTTTTCGCCCCAATCCGTCCAGAACATCAGGCCCTTCTGGGGCCAAACAGCCAGTGATCGCGGCTGGTGGACGTCCTGGGTGACCAGCACGGCACAGTTGAGGCCATCGTTCGAGCACACGGCTATATGCCGCATTATGTTGTCCGAGAAGTAGATGTTCTGCGTCAGCCAGTCCACAGCCAGGTCCTCTGGCGCATCCAGGCCCGAGGTCAGCAGGATCTCCGCATGCGAACCGTCTCCGTTTGCCTTCACAATGCTTTCCGCTTCGTTCTGGATGTTGGTCCAATAGATGTGGCTGCCATCGTAGGCCACGCCAATGACCTTGCTTAGATTCCCGGCCACCTGGTAGACATGGTTTCGCACGTTATCCTCGTGCAGATGCATTCCCATAATCGTCATCTGAGTGGTGTACAGCAGAAGGGGCTGCTGTTCTATGGATCCGTGAACGACGGCGCGACACGTGCGATTATCCTTGTCCGGCAGATAGCCCGCATCACAGACGCATCGATAACCACCCGATGTGTTCTCGCATCCCTGGCTGCACAGATCATCTTGCTCCTTGCACTCGTCAATGTCCTCGCACTTGTCCTCGAATTTGGCCAGCCGGAATCCCCTTGGGCAGATACACTCCGCTCCGCCGGTCGGCATCATGTGGCACTTGGATCCCAGAACACAATTCTTCCCATCGCAGCCCGGCTTGGAGTGGCAAAGCTCGGTCTCATCGCTTCCGTCGGAGCAGTCGCTGTGTCCATCGCACACTTCGCTCAGCGTCAGACAGGTTTCCTGGTTCCGGCACAGGAATTTACCCTTCTCTGGCTTACACAGATTTTCTTAAAGAAGGGAGAGTCGCATGGTTAAACAATATCCGGTTTGAAGTATTCAAATAGGACTGTGACTCACGGCATCCTCTTTCATCGCTTCCATCGCCGCAATCGTCCACGCCATCGCAGACCCAATGCTTCCGCCGCAAGCACCGTCCGTTGTCGCAGAGGTGTCCCTCGGCGGAGCAGGTGGCCTCCGCCTGCTTGCAGCCGGCCACCTCGTCCGACTTGTCAGCGCAGTCCGCCCGGCCGTCGCACATAAAATCAATGGGAATGCAGGTGCGATCCTGCTCGCACATGAACTCGTACTTGCTGCAGTTGCGCATGCGATGAGCGGTGTCCCCGAATCGAAATCCCGGCCGCACCGGGCAGTTGAGCTCATCCTCGCCGCCGGGACAGTTGTCGATGCCGTTGCACATTAGTTCCGCTGCCAGGCAGGCTCCGTGTGGCTGGGCACACGGGAACCAATGTGGCGGTCGGCACAGTCGGTAGTCTGGATATCCGGTATGTAAAGAAGTTAATATGGTATAATTTGAACATTAAGAAGAAATTCCAAAGCACGTTTTTATAATGGCGATAATGGTGTTGGAGTATCATGAGGATGGAGTATCTCTAGCTAGGATTGCCTAACCCGCGAACTCAGGAGCACTTAGGAGCATAACCTATCCTGTTCCACCCATGCTCACCGCAGTCCAATTCATCCGAGCTGTCCTTGCAGTCTCCGCGTCCGTCGCACATCTTCGCCTGTAAGATGCAGCCGCCGTCTCTGCACTGGAATTGTCCCGCATTGCACCGCGTGTCCTCTGATCCCGGCGTGCCGGCAGCAGTAGCACCGCAAAGGCCAAGGAGCAGCAGCAGCGAGATGGCCACGTGGCGTCCATTGAGGATGGGATGTGCTCGCTGGCAATTCGCGTAACCACTGGACGACTGAGAGCCACCACTGGTGGGGTGAGCGCGTGTCTGCGAGGTTAGGTTGAATCCTCGCGGACTGACGGTCATCTTCGGGCTCGCTAGCCGGATCCTTTGCTCGCTGGGGGGCACCTGGTGCTCGGCCTGGCACATTCAACACGAAACACACACAATATTTGCACGATAATTAACACGCAGGACTGCTGAACTAAAATTAAAACGGGAACGGAAATCAGAAAGTGTGGCTTGCAGCTTGGAAAGCTGAAAGCGAATTGAACGAGGAAAACCGTTCGGTTCCAGTGGATGACGTCGATCGCAGGGCTTTGGAAAAACACCGTTATTTCAGTGTGACCAGATGCACTGCACACCGTACAGACTGGGTAATCATTTAACTGGTATTTAAAACGAAATATTTTAAAACCAAATTAAAGCCAAATTTAAAAACTGGGCAGTGCTTATTTAGGAATTTTCTTCTTTGCAAATCGATGATAGCCCATGTGTATGCAATGTACAGATGACAGTAGTAAGTCACAGCAAAACATTTTGGCCATTAACGCGCACATCAATTTGTTGCAGTGTATGCTAAATAGCGCACCTGGGTGGCAACGCCGTTCGCCATCCACTTAAAAACTTGACCATCAAAAGTCGCAAAAGGATTGCACCAAATACAGCGTGATTAATTGCCTGTTCATGATGTCAGTGGGGACTGGAAGATTCAAAAATCAAATTATTGCAGTGGGAAACGACGGGATCCGAAACACAAAAAAAACATTTACCCATTTGGATGACCCATTGCAACAATTAATAACGGTTATGCCGCGAGATTTATGAGCAACGACATATAAACAAGACCGCACCGCGAAATGTCATAAAAAATCAGAGACAAAACCCGAATTGCTGAATTGCTTAGAAACCAGAAGAGCACTCACAAATTTGTATAATTAAGGAAAAAAAAGAGTGCGAGTTCGACTTCACACGCGGTAGGGGGCGTGCCGCACTCGTAAAAACAAAACTGACGCGAAGCCAAAACCAAATCTGGGAATACACTTGCAGAAATGAACAGGTACATTTATGCAGCCATTTTACGCACTTCATTTTTTTAAATAGGAGTTTTGAAAGTAAGTTTGCACATACGCACATATAGACTGAAACCTCATATCACATAAAATCGAACAATGTTTGCGTGCCTGCTAAATATTTGCCATATTAAATGCTTACAATACTACTATAATACTTACTACTCAATTCTATTCCTAAATCATAATCTCCAAACATATTTGATATATTAAAGTTACCTTTTTTCATTCTAGCGATACATGCAATGCACTTCAGTATCCGCTTAGATCTACTACACTAGATTTTCTCCGTGTGCATGAACTGTATTAGGCGAACGTGGTTTTTCCACGGCCAGACAATTTGGGGCTTCTATGCCGGATGAGTCGTGGGACATCGAACGAGCCGCGATGACAAGCGAACATGACGAACTTCTCGGAGCAGCTGGGACTTCTATGGAGTCTATGGAGTCTTCTCTGCCGTCCGGTTGCCTGCTGCCTGGCCCGTTGAGTAATGGGCCCTGTCCGCCGACATGTCCGCCGCGCCAAGGCGTTAAAATCATCAGTTGTAAAGTATCTGGGGTGCACATCGCGATTCGAGCTTGGCAGCGTATAAAAACTACACTCGGCCGATGGATCAGCAACAGTTGATCGCCAGCGTCCACCCGGTGCATACACAGCTACAAGAACCCCAATCCGTCCCAGGATCACACCGAGCTTCTCAGAATGGTAAGTGCTCAAGACGTTTCGAAAAATAGGCCAAACGATTTTCTGAATTTAAATAGATATTTCAACCATGTTTTTATTGTTATAAGTTTATTATTCAGAACATATTGTTGCATGCTTTAAGCCAGCTTCTGAGTGACTCCGCATCCCCGGTGTCTTTTAATCCCACGATTCCATCTCCGCAGAACTCCGTCACCATTCTTGCCATCTTCGCCGCCTCCCTGGCCTTCTGTGCCGCCGATGTGTCTCACTTGTCGCGCAGCTATCTGCCACCGTTGAGCGGCGGCTTCTCCTCCGGATACTCATCCTATCCGTCGTACTCGAGCGGCTCCGGCTATTACTCGGGCGGCGGCGGCTACGCCTCGCCGATCATCTCGTCCAGCTACAAGAACTACGCGGTGCCGCAGTACACCACCTATGCCACGCCCTCGCGCGCCTACTTGCCGGCGAATGCGGGCTACAGCGGCTACTCCGGCTACTCGGGTTACTCCGGCTACAATGGCCTGGACACCAAGTACGGCAGTAATGGTGGCTACGTCTACTAGGCGCACACAGTGGTGACGCGAATCCAATTTCTGGAAGGCCAACAGCAATGGAGCCAGCAGACAACTATATTCCTCTAATCTTTTTTCTCGGCTAAGCAATTTTTTTTAATGGCTACTAAATATTTTCGAATGCTTAATTACGAATAACAAATGTCATGATGTATTTACTTGGAGGTGGACTTGCTTGTTTTCTAAATTCCTCATTGGAGATCTTCAAAGTTGAAATTTGTTGGAGCTAACGGAGTTCACGCCCAAGCTATAATTTGAACAAGATATAATGCTATAGTCGAGTTGCCCGACTATCAGATACCCGTTACTCAGCTAGTGGAAGTGCAAACCAGAAATTTCAACATTTTGTGGAATATCGGTAAAAATTTGGGAGAAAATAATAAAAGGAAAAGCAACTTACAATTTTTTTAAAAATGTCGGTGTGAGAGTTTTGTTTTAAGAGAAGATTAAGATAAGTTGAGTTATGGAGTTTAGAACTTCAGACTTCGGACTTTTTTAAATTTTTTTGAATTTCTACATCATACATCAGAAAAATTGCAAAAAAATAAAACAAATTCCAAATTTGAATGCAGATTTGAACATTTTGAGGTATGCCACTATAAAATCAGATTAAGATAAGTGGAGTTGGAAGCGTGTAAAGAGTGTAAAGGGTATGCTAGACGCGTTTAAAAGTATGCAACAGAGTAGTGGAAAGTGTTTCCAAGCAATAGATCTAAGTTTTCCTCGCCCTTCCTTATCCAAGTAAGGGGTAGCTAATAGTCGCGGCATTTGGTATTGGAACCAAGTTAAATATGGCATAAGATAGTATAGAAGTATTAATTAATCGCAGTCCCAATCCATTTAATTGAAGTAAACACTCAAATAAGTACTTGTATGCCTTCTTAACTTTATTTGATTGAATTAAAAAAAAAAAAGGGTACAAAATGTAATATAATCGTTATTTTTCGCAGTGATCCTCCTAATGCTTCAGACGGTACTCGTATCCTCCATTGGATGCGTAGGAGCCGGACTTGTGTCCAGATCCGAAGCTGGATCCAAAGCCAGATCCGAGCCCAGAGCGCAGACCCGATCCTTGGAGCAATCCATGGCTGGAGCCAGATCCGAATCCGTGGCCAGATCCCGAGCTCGATCCCGAGTAGCTCACTTGGGAGACAGCTGGGGCGGCATAGGTCCTGCTGGAAACGGATGGAGCGGCATACGAACCATGGGAGAGCGATGAAGTGGAGTACGACGATCCGTGGGATACCGCTGGGGCGGAGTAAGTGGTGGCAGCCGGTGCTAGATATTGCCTGGAGGGAGCGGCCACTGGAGCTGAATAGCTCGTGCGGGAGGCGGCTGGTGCGGAATAGGAGCTGTAGGATGCAACTGGAGCTGAGTAGGAGCCGCTGGAAACTCCCGAGGAGGAGTAGGAGCCATGCGACACGGCTGGAGCGGAATAGCTCTTGTGCGACACGGCGGGAGCGGAGTAACTGCTGTGGGACACTGCTGCTGGTGCTAGGTACTGCCTGGATGGAGTGGCCACGGGAGCGGAGTAGCTGGTGCGCGAAGCGGAGGAGTACGATCCATGTGATACGGATGGGGCGGCGTAGGAGCGGGATATAGCTGGAGCGGAGTACGAGACGTGGGATGCAGCTGGTGCGGAGTACGAGACGCGGGATGCAGCTGGAGCGGAGTACGAGACGTGGGACACTGATGGGGCGGAGTAGGAGGAGCCTCCCGAGCTGAAGCCACTATGCGATGCAGCCGGAGCTAGGTACTGCCTGGAAGGAGCTGCCACGGAGTGGGACCTGCGGGCATAGGTGGCCGCAGGAGCTGCATAGGATCCCGAGGAGCTGGACGCCGCTGCACTGTATCCACTCTGGGCACCCACTTGCGGCGGCAGATAGGTGTTACTCAATGGTGTCACCAGGCCCACGGTGGCCAGAGTCAGAACCAGAATGGCAATGGAGTGCTGCAACATACAGCATTCGGGTATGTTTATATTTAACACTTGTATATGTACTTACCATCTTAATGGACTTTGGGCTTCAAGCGTTTTCTAGCTGCTGTTTCAGCGTTGGGGGAAGTGGAACTGATGGCACAACAGAAGTGAGCCGACACTTTTATAGGAGACTTTAGACCCCAAGCAGCACACACATAGGTGTGCAGGTGAGTACAAATCTTTCAATCCCCGAAAGACGCACACACCAAATAGGAAAAAATAATGAAAGAAAACGAACTGAAGCGCAAAAAACAAAAAAGCAATACCATTAGAACGCAATGGAATGGGGCGGCAAGAGTTAGTGGTGTTGATGATCATAGTTTCGCTGGCTGCTGCTGGCACAACCAACACTGGCCTGCATGGCAGGGGTTCCGAGTGCTTACTGATAACTTAAGTATACCCAAATGGTGTAAGATAATGCTCAGATATGTGGAAAGCAACCTCAGCTTACTGGGTTGATATCTGTTAGATACAACCAAAACAAGTATCTAATACTTCGTATTATGTGGACTGATTCAAAAACTTGCTGCACAGTGCATAGTGAAGAATGGCGCGATAGGAGGATGTCGTAGACTCTATTTATTTGACCGTTTATTTTTAGCCCTGTCCATTTCGGAAGTCGCCGAAAGTAATTAATGATTCGCCTTGCCGCGGGTGAGAAGTTCAATCCCGGCTAATACAAGCCCCAAGACGTTAGCTAGCTCACAGTTCAGCGACTGGGGATCGGATCGCCATGGATTGAATTGAGTTCTTATGGTGTTCATGCAATGCAGGCCCGCATCTGAAAGCCGCGATTAATTATAATCCGCGGATATCGGGCTTGATGTTCAGGCAGTACCCAATGTTTTTGCGTGTACCCAAGTGTTTATGTCTTTGGCGTGCGTTTATACAATTAAAACAAAATGCCAACTGAAGAGGAATTAACAACAAACAAAAATGGCCGAATACAGAAGAAGAAACGGGGTGATATGATCGTTGTGGATGCTCAGAAATTCCCTTGTAGGTCTACATACATATATGGTCATGCAATTTGCATGCATAAAAATGTCAGAGTCATTTGGGGGAATTTCTTGTTGAACAATTTATCGCCATAGCTGTCATAATGAGCACTTAATTTACTACCTGTTTCTTGTTGTCAATGAAGCTTGACTAAGGCGATTATGAGAAACCATATGAGGGTATGCAAATACCAACGCCTAGACTATTTATTCTAGGAAGATGCATTCGATGTTGTCGGTTACGAGATCTTGGTATTTTGGTATATTGGTTAGGAAAATGTTTTTGAAGAGTGCCATTTCCTGCTTCCCGAAACCACCATACCCGGTTCAATTAGGGTATGGACATTTTCAAGATGGCAAAAACACGACTTGGCTTTGAGCTGCGTACTTGAGTAAGGTGAATAGTTAATGTGGGTTGTTCGCCAGCTCACTTTTGATTGAGGATCGGTTGGATGGAGTCACCTCAGCGCAGAAAAGTAGTTAGTTCTCGAATTCTTCCTGTGCATTGAATCACCCATTTGCTTGGTATTAAAGGAAGTGCTCTGTTGTTATATTTTTGTTCAGTGAAAATGTGTAGCGTGTGAAGGTCAAGACAATTAATTTAAGCGGGCTTAAATTAAACATCTGCTGGGTTAGTTTTTCAAGATATCATCGAAATTGCGTGAAAGAATGGTTCTAAGTAATTTTGTTTCCACTACTTAATTTATTTTGAAAAATACCCTTAAATCAATTAGGTCTTCGACTTTTGGGCCAGCTCCTTGGCATAGGCCACGAACAGGATGTTGTGCTTGCTGGCCACCGGCTTCCCGTCGTCCTGGTCGTGCCGCACCTGCAGGGTGTCCGAGTCCAGGGTAACACTGGCCACCGGCTGACCCGGTTTGAGGTAGTAGCTCTGGCCCAGGGATGTGGGTCGATGCTCCGTGACGAAGTGGTACCGCATCGGTTCCATCTCCTCGATGACCAGCTTGGGTCTGCTGGTGGTGGCGGTGCCGAGTGTCGATTCCATTTCGGTTTGGCTTACGGGTTGGGCGCCAGTTGTTGCTAGCAGCGCCATTGCAACGATGACAACACTTGACTTGGTCCACATGGTTGAACAGTTCGTATCCGAAATGCGTTTCCTGCTGCGGACGAGGGCTCAATGCGTTCCCGATCCGATCTGCAGCATCCTTTTATATCCTGGCCTGCAGGAAGTGCCCTCTTTCGCCGAGTTAATGGCCTGATTCTTGGGGATCTCATCGCTGAGATCTTTCGATGGCTTTGCCTCACCGGCAATGTGCGCCCTGCTCTCGCTTTGCGCATAACAAGTTTTTGGACATTAACCCGATTTCGATTTATATATATTCGGATATGTATATGTCGGGTGTATATAATGCACACACGGCACTTTGGCCCATTCACAAGAGAAACCCCGATGAGGCAGTGGAAAGAGCCAACAGAAATGCAAATTCGGACATCCAATTCGCCATATGGGGGTATATATACATCCGTATAGGGTATAGAGTGGGACTCGCCTGACAACAGACACACATTCGCATTGCCAGTTGCACGATCTTGGTGTTCATTTGGGTTTTGTTTTTTTCCCACCTCGATCCGTATAATTAATAAGCTCGACTTTTAATGGCATATAAATGTTTGCTAGACGCGTTTATTTATCATTTTGCTTGATATACGTGTACGTATTTATGAGTTCTCGAAGCCGTTGCTTCCTCTATCGCAAATTCTCAGATTTGTATAACATTTTGCTAGCACATTTTCATGGGTGGTAAAGTCATAAATTGGATTGCAATAATGGTCTAGAGACCGTTGACTGCTTAATTGGCCAGCAGATGTGATGCGGCGATTTTATGACAATTTGATGGGACTTAAAGGAGACAAGGTGAAATTTAAGTGGGTTTCACTTATGGTTGTTTAAAAATTGATTTGCAATTTTTGGAAGCTGTGCCATAAACTTAATTACTGAAATATTATCCAAAAATCGTGCTTTAGCCTAACTATCTATTATTTAAAACCAGGTCTTAATTATACGAGGAATCGAATCTGCGGTTGCCGAATTTTACGGTTTTTTAATTTAAACAACATCTAAATTGCATAGCCATCTGCAGGTATTGTTTCCAAATCTAAGGAATATCTAAAATATGTTGTTGTCTTTTCAGAACAATAGGTGTAATTTAGTTTGTTCCCGGATATATGAAATCGCCATTAAGCCTCCTTATGTCTGAATAGCAACTTAGAACTGGACAAACCGGAAAAGTGCTGGATTTTATTATTGCAAAGAACTAGGATTAGGTCAGCAATATGTAGCATAGATAGAAGATTGAGCATATAAAAGTTTATATTAAAAGTTTAAGTCATACAAAACCTAATAACCAAACGCCAAATGCCAAGTATTTCGATTAATGAGAATGTTTGGTAATCGTGTCGTCTAAAAATGCATTAAATGGTATATTTTTAGGTGTAAAATGAAAGATTTCTCTGTTTTAAGCATATTCGATTTATTGTAAGAAAAAAAAAGGTTCTCGTCGTATGATTAGCTTCGTTTTGGGATGCAGTCTTTAGTAGACGTATCCGCCGTTGGAGCCGTACACGGTGCCGGAGGATCCGGAGTAGCTGCTGACCACAGCAGGAGCGGAGTAGGTGGACACGGCTGGGGCGGAGTAGGTCTTGACCACAGCGGGGGCGGAGTAGGTCTTGGCCACCACTGGGGCGGTGTAGGTGGACACAGCTGGGGCGGAGTAGGTCTTGACCACGGCGGGAGCGGTGTAGGTCTTGGCCACAACGGGAGCGGTGTAGGTGGACACAGCAGGAGCGGAGTAGGTCTTCACAACAGCGGGAGCGGTGTAGGTCTTGGCCACAACGGGAGCGGTGTAGGTGGACACAGCAGGAGCGGTGTAGGTGGACACAGCAGGAGCGGAGTAAGTCTTGACCACAGCGGGGGCGGCATAGGTCTTGGCCACAACGGGAGCGGTGTAGGTGGACACAGCTGGGGCGGAGTAAGTCTTGGCCACCACTGGAGCGGTGTAGGTGGACACAGCAGGAGCGGAGTAGGTCTTCACAACAGCGGGAGCGGTGTAGGTCTTGGCCACCACTGGAGCGGTGTAGGTGGACACAGCGGGAGCGGTGTAGGTGGACACGGCTGGGGCGGAGTAGGTCTTGACCACAGCGGGGGCGGTGTAGGTCTGAGAGTATCCGGACACGGCAGGCGCAGAGTAGGTGGACACAGCAGGAGCGGAGTAAGTCTTGGCCACCACTGGAGCGGTGTAGGTGGACACAGCAGGAGCGGAGTAAGTCTTGGCCACCACTGGAGCGGTGTAGGTGGACACAGCAGGAGCGGAGTAAGTCTTGGCCACCACTGGAGCGGTGTAGGTGGACACAGCCGGGGCGGAGTAGGTCTTCACAACAGCGGGGGCGGCGTAGGTCTTGGCCACCACAGCGGGAGCGGAGTAGGAAGAGGAGGAGGAGACAGCTGGGGCGGAGTAGGTGGTCTTGGTCACCACTGGAGCCACATAGCTGGCAGCGGGCTGCTCGTAGGTCTCCTCAGCGGCGGTCTCAACGGCGGCCTCGACGGCAGCTGGAGCGGCATAGGTTTCGCTGGTGTAGGAGGCAGCTGGGGCGGAGTAGGACTCGCTCTCGTAGGTGGTGGCAGCGGCGACGGGAGCCACGTAGGTCTCGGAGGCGGCGGCCTCGACGGGAGCGGCCTGGTAGGACTCGTAGCTGGTGGATGCAGCGGCCGACTGAGGAGGCAGGTAGGTGCTGGCCAGGTGGCTGACATCGGCGGAGGCCGCGGCCAGGAGGGCGAGCGAGAGGATGGCGAAGAATTTCTAAAATCGATTGGAAGCAGCAATATTTAGAATCTCATTTGGCCAAAAGAGTTCCCTGTATTCCGGGTATTCCGGTGCAGGAGCGGAGCAGGCTCACTCTGAAATCTGAAGCTTACCATGTTGATGGGACCGAAGTTGTGAGAACACTAGTACCTTCTCCACAGCCAATCCGCCTATTTATAGTCACCGAAAATGTCTGGCCAACTTGATACACGAATGTCAAAAGGCGCTACAAAAAACCAGAACAAAACGCAGACCGATGGCAATACAAACTATATCGTCCATACCCAAAAACCCGACATTAGAAAATAAAAGAGCCATAATAACGAAGCTTTTCGTCTGCGAAGCTCATTAGTCGCCCATAATATTCCGACTTTTCTCTGTTTCACTCCCCTGCTGGTTTTGGTTCTGTTTCTGGTTATGATGCCCATTCCCATTCCCATTCTCATTCTGAATCTAAATCCAATTCTGCTCGCCGATCGGAGATGATGATGTTGTTGATATACTATACATGAGAAATGGCAAACACGGGCTGTACGAAACTCGTTATCGAACTCCATTCATAAGACTCCGTCCTCCGTCTTACTTACCCATCATCCATCAAAGCGGAATCAGCGTTTTGCAAAGGCAATGTGTTACATACTCGTACATCCCGGAGGCCTTGAAGAAGAGTAATATTAACCGAGTTCTGGGCAGTTACTACATCAATCATTGGCGGGGAATTACCCGGAACACAATGGCTTACTTTGGGGAAACTGGTATGGAAATAGCCTGAAGACGTACCCCAGATCTCTTGTCCAGTTCTTTGGTGCCCCTTGTAACCTTGTAACACAGTAAAGTCATATTTTATATATTTATTCTTGTTCCCGTTCTCTTGTCATCTAACAAATTAATTATGATACTATTTTTAATTCTTATGAGTCCAGTAATTACACTTTATTAATTGCCGATCGAAACGTTAATAAATATCAGCAGCTTCGGTATTCGATTCGGCTATTAGATGATAATGTATCTAATTGATAATTTATTATAATTGAAAACCGCTTTGGGTTGATTTCAAAATTGGTGGCTTAGCGCTTGGCGAAATGGTCATAATTCAAGTCCCACATTGAAGATGAAGTCTAGCGATATGTACTGGAATTAAACGATTTATTGGTAATATCTTGGTATTTAAATGGCAAAGGAATCCTGAAGTCTCTCAGTGCAACGAAACTGAACAGTAGTTTGGAAATAAATCGTTCAAATTAGTTAAAAGCGATTGTTAATAAATCTTTTTCAGTGGTACTTCTTCCCAACAGCGCGGGATCTCTTCAATTGATCCTCATAGCAGTGCCATTGGACATAATCTGGGTTTCTGGCTATCGTATCCATATCCGTATTGTAAACAGTGTTGCTGAAGCAACTATACGACCGGTTTTCATTTCCAAGTATTGCTCAAAATCGCTCTGAAATAGATAATCTGTTTATACTCACATGGAATGTCTCACCACTTCCCCCTTTCTTTTGATATATTTAAATTAAAGCCCATTTTATATAACAAAAACAATTTATTGATTAACAATAAGGTACTAGAAATTGGCTACGTAACACTAAGTTCAGCTGAATCAGCGCTTATCGTGGAGCGTGGAATCCCCAACTCGATGCGAGTTCGGACCTCCGCTGGGGTCCTTTCACGGGCATCCTACTTGTACAGGTAACCACCGTTGGCGGCGTAGCTGGTTCCGATCTCCTCGGGACTGGAAACTGGAACTGCCTGCTGGGGAATGGCAGCTGGAGCGGGCTGGGTGTAGGTCACCTGCGGTTGCACCACTGGTGGAGAGTACTGCACAATGGGTTGGGCTGGCTGTTGGATTTGGATGGGGGCAGCGGATAATAAGGAATGTTGCAGCTGAACTGGGGCAGGTGCTGGAGCTGCGGCAGGGATAGCAATTGGAGCCGGAGCGGGAGCCGAGATCACCACGGGTGCTGGAGCAGGAAGGGACACCTGAACCGGGGCTGGAGCTTGCTGACGAGTCTGGAAGGAGGTACCACTGTACCGAGGAGAAACGGGAACGGGAGCAGGAGCGAAGTAACTCTGCTCGATCACAGGGGCTCGCTGAATTGTCTCTTGAACCACAGAAGCTGGAGCGGAGTATGTCTGCTGAACCACTGGGGCAGGAGCTGGAGCAGAGTAGCTTTGCTGAATCACAGGAGCGGGGGCTGGAGCGGAGTAGCTCTGCTGAATTACAGGTGCCTCCTGAACCGCTTGCTGCACCACTGCAGCTGGAACGGAGTAAGCCTGCTGAGGTACTGGAGCAGGAGCGGAGTAGGTCTGTTGGACGACTGGAGCCGGAACTGGAGCAGAGTAAGTCTGCTGAACGGCTGGGGCAGGAGCACTGAAGAATTGTTCCTGAACTGGAGCTGCAGCCGGAGCAGGAGCGGAGTAAGTCTGCTGAGCTACCAGAGCAGGAGCGTTGTAGACTTGTTCCTGGGCCACTAGAGCGGGAGCTGAATATGTCTGCTGCACTGCCTGGACAGGAGCGGAAGCGGTGTAAGTCTGTTCCTGTACAACTGGTGCGGGTGCGGAGTATGTCTGCTGGACGACGGGAACAGGAGCTGGAGAGGAGTAGGTCTGGATCACCTGGTGCTGTTCCTGCACTGCAGGAACTGGAATTGCAATTGGAGTGATGGTCTCCGGCTGTGGCACAATGGGCGCAACCACTGGCTCCGGAGCGGGCACAAATTGCTGGATAGGAGTGGGTGGTAGATAGGCGTTCTTCACCGCCGTCTGGATGCCAATCACCGGCTTGGGTGCTTCATAGATCACCTGCGGAGCCGGCTGTTGGATCTCTACGGGTGCAAGTGCGGGAGCTGGAGCGGAGATTATCGCTGGAGCAGGTGCTGGAACGGAAACTGGAGCTGGCGCTGCTGCACCCTGATACTGCTGCTGGATGGTGAAGCTAGCCAGCGGCACCGACGCCTGAATGGACTCCACATGGGGCTGGATCTGCGACTGGATGTGCTGTTCCAGCTGAGGCTGCACCAACTGCTGGAAGCTCGGCGCAGCGGACACCTCCTTGGCCGGCAGAGGTGGCAGATACTGGGCGCCCGGGCGTCCACTGACCACAACCAAGCTGAGAGCAGCCACAACGACAAAGGCAGAGGGTTTCTGGACAAGAGACAAAAGCGCGACATATCACTTGGTAAATCACTTGAAAAAAATAAATGAAGCGAAATTGAGATGGCCACTTACCATCTTCACTGGGGTCACTAATCTGAGGAAGCTAGAGGTGCACCGAGCGAACGTAACCGATTAACTGATGACCATCTTGGAGACCCCGTCTGCATTTATAGTTGGCAGCTTCCCCTTAATTGGTGCGATATGTCTCTATGCCAGATGTTACAAATACCTTGGCGCGGGGGGAATGCTAATGCAGATGGCCAACAATGAAATCATGCAAAACACATCTTATTTCGGTGCGGATTATTAAATGGCCAAAAGCACGACTCACACCGAACACTCGCCAACGACTTCGTGCGATAACAAACAGCCCAAATTGGCCAAATACGTCCAAGTTTTTATGGTGCATTTTTAATTTTCTCTCAGGACTCAAAATCTATTTAAGGCGCACTTCACAGGGGACCAAAAAAATGTGTAAGTGTTAATCTAAATTATAGGAAAATATTTCTTGTTGAAATATACATTTTTTGGTTCCATGTAAACAGATTAATACGTACCTTTAAAATCATATATGTCATCATTTTCCTATTTCGCTTTTTCCCGATTTTCTGTACCACAAATCATTTTCTCTCGGTGCATCTATGATGAAAACAAAGCCCAAATATTTATCATTCGCTTGCCGGCTCGGATTGTGTCCATCTGGGCAATTGACACCTTGGCACTTTAACTTAAGTGCATTGCACTTCTGCTTTTAGCTGGTTATACAAGTTACATTACCTGAAGAGATGTGTGCGGATGAATTAGGGATTCCTCTTTTACATTAGCAACTGGTAATAAACTTGACTGAATAATAGTATTTATTGAACTAAATTTGCCTAATAAAATTATACATATTTTGCTGTTAGGCAAATATTATACATTTGCAACATTTTTAAAATTTATTAGTTAAGTGACAACATTCTGAACACAAAAGCGTCTGAGATTTTTCCTGTGACTTGTCCATTGTTTTAGCTGTGTGTTTTGAATTTATGGCAAGATGTTTATCGTGTAAGGGCCCATCTGGTTGATTTCCCAACTGCATACATATCTATAGAGATCTCATTCGGTGGCAGAAACGTGTCCAACCTTCGGACATTTTAAATGGGCCATAAGTTATTGGTAATCAAGGGCCCCCGTTTGTTTGGCTGGATCTCGACATGGATTCGATACGATTCATAGGCATCTCGTAGGCGTGTGCCAGAGATTATGATGAGCGATTTCCTCCGTTTTGTATCATAGCCATGCTACACGGATCTTCGCCTGCACCAGGTGTTCCAAGCTCAAAAAGCGCACAAAGAGCGCAGAAAAGTGACAAATTGAAAACAAGCCAAGTTCGGAGTCCACAAAAGAAAATGTCAAATTGAGGGCCTCTGACAACCGCGGGCACAGTCTGCCTTAATTATGACTAATTGCTGTGCGAACAGCCTCTATATTTAAAGCTGTAGCCCACGATCGTGATGAATATTCAGCGAAGTCCGGATCCGGCGAAAATTGTAACAAACTGATGAGCTTGGATTTGGATAAGTCACCTTCGATTTGCACACGCAACGAACGAGGGGCTAAGATACAAAATCCAGATACAGCACAAAATTTAAAATCAATGATTCAACCGACGTGTTTCTATTATTTTTTCCAACACTGTATATACTATATATAATTATACGCACTCCAGACCAAATAACCAAACGTTTATTCAAATTATGGCATGGTATATTGCTATTATGATGTGGTAAATATAGCAAAACATTAGACAGGAATGAACACTAAATAAAAGACAATCAACAAGTGCGTAGTACTGATGTTAGATGATGCGTGTCATAAAGGTGACAAAAGCGCTGCCAAAAGACAAAAACACATTTCTTAGCTTTTGCCATTCCCATAAAAAATATTATAAAGACTTTTAATGAGTTTACTGAATCGCAGGTAACAATCAAAAGCCACATCAATAATTCAGTGGAGACATAAAAAAAAAGCTGAATAGAAAATCAATTCGGGCTAGTTGAAGTCTATAGACTTTTGAAACGGGTGACCAAACATGGAAGTTGAATACGTCTGGTTTTAAACTATTGAAAAATCCCCTTTTTGATAACCATCTTAAGTCCAAGAAAGACGTTAATTATCATACATGTATGTTCTTTAGGGGGAAACTCTTTGACGTCGGTAACTGGTTTGCCAAATGAAAAATATGGTGAAGCCAAAAATAACACAGATGATTCTTGAATTTTGCTGAGATTACAGGGATCATTAACTTAGTTCGATTAAGTTTGCCCTTTGAAGGGCAGCTTTTTCTACTTCATCTCTGTGACGTCAAGCTTTGAAAACTTGTATATAAATTATTTGTTTTTAAGTTAGATTTCCTTTGGAATTTCAATAGGAATTAGGATTAATTTTTAATGAGCCCATGCATAGTTTCTACTTTTATTTGCACGTGTATTTTAATACTTTGACCATTTAGTTCGGTGCTAATTCCATCCAGAAACATCAAAGTTCAATAAACCTTTTGGGACTCCGCGTGTTGATCGTATGTATATAACGTGTGCATAATTATCGTAGGACTCGGTTCTGGTCCACACCCAAGCCACCAATCATGTTTTTTATTTCAGCCTTCTATCGCCTTGTATTGACTGTTGAAAACAACACATGTAGTTTATGAACCCAGATGTCTGGCCAGGCAATATACATATGTGTCCATAACGGCGATAGATCGTCTCGTTTATGGTTATCAGTCAGTTGTGGCGAATATTTCGATTAGCATACAGACAATTGTTTTGTCTGTCCGCAGTTTTATGGCCACCAGAGCCAACCAATAAATAAAAACACAGGCGCAAAAAATACAAATCAAAATATGGATCATAATTTATAGCGAACTTGTTTGATGAACTCCCCCATTGGATCACTTGGCCTTCTTATAGACGTAGCCGCCGTTGGTTGCGTACACCGTATCCGCCACACTCTTGGGATCATCGGCCAATGGTGGTGCCACTACCGTCCTCTCACCGTCCTTTGGCTGCTCCTTTGCCGACTCATCGGAGTAGCCCGGCGGAGCGGGTCCACCGAATCCGGGTCCGAATTGCTGGTATGGATTCTGGCCGGGCACCGGTCCGCCGAATCCCACGGGCACATTGAATCCTGCGGGACTGGGTCCTTGGAAGGGAGCTTGGGCATTTGTTAGGGGAAGTCCCTGGCCTGTCAGGAGCTCCGGTCGATATGCGGATCCTTGGAAGGGTCCTCCCTGTGGGGGGAAGTTTCCTCCTGGGAAGTTACCAGCTATTCCCTGTGGCCCGAAGGCACCTCCCTGTGGTGGGAACGGTCCTGGCTGTGGTGAGAAGGGACCTCCCTGCGGTGGGAATCCATTGCCAGGATTGCCAAGTGGGAAGCCAGCTCCTTGAGGGGGGAAACCGCCCGCCTGGGGAAAGCCACCTGCCTGGGGAAAGCCACCTGCCTGGGGAAAGCCACCTGCCTGGGGAAAACCGCCGGCCTGGGGAAAAGTACCTCCCTGCGGACCGAAAGGACCACCACCCGGAGGCAGTTGGAAGGCCGCATTCGGAGGACCCGCCGGGAATGCGCCTCCATTGGGATAGGCCGAGGGCACTGGGCCAATGCCGCCTGGTCCGCCTGGTCCGCCTCCCTGCTCGCCAGGACCACCGCCGAAGCCGAAGAAAGGTGGATAGATGGGCAGGGGGAAGTTTGGAGGCTGGGCAGGCTGCGGTGGAACGTTGCTGCCCGTGGGAATGGCATAGCCCGGCGGCAGGGGCAGTCCACCCGAGGGATAGAACCCAGATGGATCCTTCTGGACCTCCTGGCCGTCAGCAGACCGTGTGGATGGCTCCTGTTCCGCACTGGGCGGTATATATTCCTTGGACAGGTGACTCACATCTGCGCGGATCAGGGGCAGAAGTAGGACCACAATGGCCAATGGCTGCATCATCTCGAGCTGCGGTTTGATCTCTGGGAGCTTGCACGGCGACGGTGGCTATGTGGGAACGGGCTCCAAATCCGCCATATATAAGACGGCATATCAACATATTACATAAATTCGCAGCCGGCTCATTTCACTTTCCCATTTGGCGGACGGAAATCGCTTTGCATCATCACAAAGGTACCATAAATAGTCGCGAATGGGTTGATCGAAGGTGCGAGGGGAGCTGCCAAAAGTGAACTATAAAAATTAATTTAGCGGCCGGATTTTACATAAATACACTAACTCCCGAAATCTAATGTCAATCTGCGCATCGCACACAGAAAAGAGGCGATAATGAAAAAGATTCATAAAAGAAAAAATAATGGTACAATTTTATGTGATTTAGATTCAAGTTCTTGCTCACCCGGAAGCTGTATACTAAATGTTAGAAGTTAATACCTGTGGTCTTGACTAACCACACGAAAAACATCGAGCAGGATGGTTTTATTTAGTATATTAACTTAAGACTTAAGGAATTGTGTCCAAATGTCTTTAAAAAAGTATCTGTCAGTTATAGTTTTTGAGATATTTAAAAGTTTGGTGTTGAAGCTAAGGAAACTATCAAGTTTTATGCTACATTTACACTAAAAGCTTTTGGAAAATGCTTGAAATAGTCGCAGCTTCCAAGTTTCATCAAAGCTGCAAGCTGTTCATAAAAAGCCCAGCGGCTTAATCAAAGCTTCACATTACATTGTAGCGCTAATCGTTTTTTTAACATTGATGCGTGTTAAATGTTTATGTTCTTGTCCGACAGGTTTAAGTGTCAACTAGTCAAAGAACTAAGCTTTCGTGTATTAAATTCACTAGATTAATGACTTATGCCAATAAGTCTTCTTTACTTTGTATGGACATATCATTGATGAACTTAATTATATGCTTATAGCCTCATGCAGTGGCTCCTTTTGTCTACTTTTAAGTATTAAGCACCAGTTTCATACATATTTATAGTTCCACCAACCACTTGCTTTGCAAGTCCGGTTTTGATACCAAACGCGCACGAACCGCGCCCGAACCGCGCCCGAACCGCACCAAAACCGCAGCCAAACCGCAATCAAGTCGCGCGATTCTGGTATCCTGCTAAAGAATTGTGATATTAAGAGAATATGGTCACCTATGCTATGAAGTGCTGTTAAATATATGTTGAACTTATGTTTAAAGTAAATTGTCAAAGGAAATTATTATCCCAAACGCATATTTCTTATGAAATATTGAAACCCATTTAAGAAAACATAGGTAATTATTCGGATTATTGAAGTTTCGGTTTATTTTCGTTGTTAACAAAGATTACAAAACAAAAAAAAATATATGGTTATTTTGGGCAGTTTGTATTTATGTACACTCTTTCGTGTTCAGTTGCAGGCCTCTTCGTTCAAGATCCCTACTTCTTGTAGACGTAGCCACCGTTGGAGCCGTACTGGGTGCCCACATCCACGGAGGAGGAGGAGTAGCTGACGGCAGGAGCGGAGTACGACTGGACGGCAGGAGCGGAGTAGGACTGGACAGCAGGGGCGGAGTAGCTGACGGCAGGAGCGGAGTACGACTGGACAGCTGGGGCGGAGTAGCTGACGGCAGGAGCGGAGTAGGACTGGACAGCTGGGGCGGAGTAGCTCACGGCAGGAGCGGAGTAGGACTGCACAGCTGGGGCGGAGTAGCTGACGGCAGGAGCGGAGTAGGACTGCACAGCTGGGGCGGAGTAGCTCACGGCAGGAGCGGAGTACGACTGGATGGCAGGAGCGGAGTACGACTGGACGGCAGGAGCGGAGTACGACTGGACGGCAGGAGCGGAGTAGCTGACCGAGGGAGCCGAGTAGCTAACGGAGGGTGCGGAGTAGGTCCTCTGGACGGCCGGAGCGGAGTAGCTCTGCACGGGAGGCAGGTACTCGCTGCTGGGGGCCGCGTACGACTGCTGGATGGCTGGAGCGGAGTAGCTCACCGCGGGAGCAGAGTAGGAGCTCTGGACGGGGGGCAGGTACTCGTTGCTCAGGTGGCTCACATCGGCGGCCACGCAGGCGAACAGGGCGAAGGCGATAAGGAATTTCTGCAAGTAGGACAACACACTTCACATTACAACACATAATTTGGAAAGCACCGTAAAAAAAAGTTTCAAATCAATTGAAAAAAAAATATTAAATGGTTCCTCGTTTCAGGTGGAACGTGTAATCCTTCACTGACCATCTTGAGTTGAGGTGGTTGCGTTTGGAAGCGACTGTGCTGGATGAGCTAGAGGCTGCGACTGATGCCTGTCCCTAGAGCCGGCTGTCAATTTATAGCTGCCGGCCGGCTCTGAAGAAAAGCCCCGGTTCGGACCGAGCCCGTTCAACTGCAGCGGCGGCACAAGCGTCAGCCGCCGTGGAAGAAGAAGACGAGCGGCTCGAGCGGCTCGAGCGGTCAGCGGACCAAGAAGAAGCCGCCGCAAAGACGTCACCATGAAATCAAGTCAAACAGCAGGTTGCGGTGCGATTTCGCAGCCACACACGAGTAAGTTGACAGCTAATTGTCAAAATCTTCAGAAATTGAAGTATTTGCAATTAAGAAGAACATTTATAATTATTTCTACAACAGCGGGTGGCTTTTATCATGTGTGCGACATTCAATTGGAAATACTTGTACATAGCTAAAAACTAAGACATTTAAGATGCAACCTTGTAAATTTGTGCCCTGTGAGCTGATCACTTACTTAAGTCCGAAAACTGCATTTGCGAAAATAGTTACTTGAAGCTACAAGTAAGCATACGTTATTAGCAGCGCTACATTGTTATATGCTTTTGGCAGTAAAGTGGCTAAAATGGCAGCACTAAACTGGGCGGGGGTTTGGAGCATATATGGCTAAACTAGCAAACGAAAAACAACATAATCACATAAAAATTAAAATTAAATTCAACATAAAACCGAACGAAATCGCACATGCAAACGGGTTTGCCTCATCTACGATATTATATTTTTTCCATTCACGCAACGGGTTTTTAGGCGGGTGAACTACTTTGGGACACCTTTTTCGTGGGCTCTTCAATCTGGCTCATTAGCGTGGGGCTCGGGGTGGGGGGTGGGGCGCTTGTGCGGCACAGAGATAACAACAACAACTGAGGGGTTCCACTAATTAACATTCAATTTAACACATTATACGCCGCGCAACCATTTTTCTCGTTTCAGGCGCTCATCTCTGGCTAACCGCAGAAACGCAGAAATGGTCAGGCCCAAAATGGATCCATTTGCAGAGATCCATGTGGCCTCGTTCGAGACACTCGCGCAGATTAATGGCCCACAGAACGTCGTGTTTGGGCAGCAGCGCCACACTCGCACTTTCTAAAAACCCATAAACACAAAAGCCGTCAGCGGAGGAGATGGCCGGCAGAAGATGGCCTTGAGAACAGCCGCCTGCCGCAAGAGTTACGAGTTCCCGAGCGGGCCTTACATAATAAGCAACAACTTTTACTTGCTGCCACATCCACTGCCCGTGAACTTGAAATGCTGCACAGCCAGAAATTTATGCCCCCACATCAATTTGCATAATTTCCATAAGCCAGCAAGACCTGCGCACCTTTTAATCCATCACGTTGATGCAACATTGCAGCTTAAACAGTACCTCTTATGATTAACGGCCATAGGCTAGGATTTATAGCCCGATTAATTCCATTTTTACACACATTTCACTTACGATCAGGCTGAAGAATTATCTTCGAGTGTAGAAGAGGCAGGAAATGCCAGGCAACACGTCGTTGCAACTTTCAGGGTTCATTGGGGATACCCAAATTAAGTTCTGGGAACTCGAAACAGCAACCATCATAATATAGTTTAAAAACACTAAGCAGCTATGAATTTAGATAAACGCTTCACTCTTGGTGTTTATTGAAATCATTGGTCTTTGTGTACACTAATAGAAATTTCATAAAAAAGTAACATTTAAGATTAGATAGATGACCTAGTAAACATAGCCGCCGTTCGACGCGTACTGGGTCTCCTGGCCGGACGTGGAGTAGGTGGTCTGCAAGAGCGGAGTGGTAATGGTGTTGGCTGCAATGGCGACTGGGGCCTGTGCCTGGACATAGGCGGCGATGGGTAGGGGCTGGGCGTTCTGATAGAAACTACCAGCCGAGGCGGCCACCACTGCCTTGGCCTGGCTTTGAACGTAGCCCGTCTGGGAAACGGCGGACTGATAGAAGCCGGAATCTCCCCCAGAAACAGCAGCGGCGGCGGCCGGTGCTACCACCGACTCCTTGAGGTAAGCGGGCGTGTATTCGGCGGGCTGGTAAGAGCTTGAATCTCCTCCCGGAACCACCACCTCCTGCTCCTGCTCCTGCACCTCCTGCACCTCCTGGGGAATGAATTTCTCAGGGGCATAGGTATCAGCGCCAATGGCAGCTGGAACTGGGGCATAGGTATCAGCGCCAATGGCCGCTGGCACAGAAGTCGCAAGCAGGGCCGGAGTGTATTCAGCCGGCTGGTAGGAGCTGGAATCCCCACCAGGAATCACCTCAGCAGCGACAGCATCCCCACCAGAAACCACCTGAGCGGTCTGCAAGTGCTCGGCAGTGTATTCAGCGGGCTGGTAGGAGCTGGCATCTCCTCCGGGCACAACCGCCTCCTGCTCCTGAATGCTCTCATAGTGGGCCTCCTGCACCTCCTGGGGAATGAATTTCTCAGGGGTGTAGGTGTCAGCACCAATGGCAGCTGGAACTGGGGCATAGGTATCGGCGCCAATGGCAGCTGGAACTGGGGCATAGGTATCGGCTCCAATGGCCGCGGGAACAGAAGTCTCCACTTGGGGTATAACCTCAGCAGCAACCGAATCCCCACCAGAAACCACCTCAGCAGCGACTGAATCCCCACCAGAAACCACCTCAGCGGTCTGCAAGTGCTCGGCAGTGTACTCGGCGGGCTGGTAGGAGCTGGAATCACCACCTGGCACCACCGCCGCAGAAGAGGAAGCGGCGGAGAGTCCATAGCCTCCGTCGACGGACAGGCCCAACTTCAGATGACTGACATCGGCGGCGGCGAGGCCGAGAAAGGCGAATGCAATGATGTGGAACTTCTGCAATGGGATCAAGTAGGTGTGGACATGTGGGTGAGATGGATGAGATGGGTGGTGGCTGAGCTGTGCGCGGTGGATCCCCCTAGAACCGAAACTTACCATGTTTGGGCCAAATCTGTTATTCAAAAGGGGGACGTTTCCAGTTTTTATACCCACAAAAGATTATGGGCCTATGCTAATTGAAGTTTTGTTTTGATCAACGCTTGATTTTGGCCAACACAAAATTTCTGTCTGCCCAGCTGCCAGTTTCCTCCTATTATTAATTTGGATTGCGAATTTGCATAGGTAGCATAACAAAAGCGGCGATCTTATCAACTTGATTAGAACCTTTTCGGGTTCCGTCAATTAAATTGTAGTCTGGTTTATGCACTGGGCGAAAACTGCTCACACATGTATCTCACTTATGCCAACTCAAAACGTCGAAAGCCGCTGTGCTGCTGCGAATGAACTCAACTGATTTTTTGTTCAGTTTAAATTAAACTTATGGAATGACAACTAAATCTTAGTTTAAAGCATTCGTTTTTGTCTGTGTACAGCTGAATCCTACAGATAGTATGTTAAATGGAGTTACTTTTTAGCGCCTGGCAAGTTCAGCCGGGTGTCATAATCGGATTGATTCAGCAACCAGTTCTCCGACTTTGGCCAAGAGTCTTAGATATGCCAATAAGTCTGCTAATTGGGCTTGGGGAAGTCAATCGATGGAATATAGCTTTATTAAACATAACTATTTTGGACCGAACTCGCTGCATACCCCGTAAAAGTACAGCCAGTGTGGCATAATTTAATTTAATTTAGTTTTAAGTGATTCAATGGCCCAACAAAATATCAAGTTTCGAATTAGCTTCGCCAATTTTGGCTGCATGAATTATAAAGATAACCTTTATGTAAAGTTTTGGCTCACATTTGTGCGTGAATTTTATCGCTTAGCTGATTTTATGGATCTCATTCCGCAAATTAGCTTATATTAATAACTTACTGACTTTCATAACAAAGGTTGAAAGCGTGCAAATCCGCGAAAGGACTTTGCAGGCGAGGTCATCAAAAGTGGAGTGATTTAATAATCAGATGAATAATAATACTAGATAATAATAAGACGAAGAAGTGATTAATAATAGATGACTACCGATTGTAAGGTTCTGCCACAAAAACCTAGCATTATTAACGAGCATTGAACTGGGAGGGACATTAAAAACTCGTTTGTTTACGGTTTATTGATTGATTATTTGTATACTGATTGATTTTGTCGAAAATATGAAAATAGATGGACCGTCGATTGAGCTTATAGCTTAATTGTGTACAAAATGACTAAATAAAAGTGTGTTGAATAACTAATGGATGTGGCGCTATTCAAATAAATATCAAATTAAATATATACTTAAGTATTTAATTCGTTTGACTGGGAATGTTCAGGAAATGCTTAAAAAAGTGGTGAACATAAATTATGGTGTATTTTAAATCTATTTGTATACAGATTTAGTTGATTATGCCATCTTTTAAGGGGCTAGAAATTATATTAAACTTGTTCATTATTCATTTGTATGCTAATTTCAAAAATGCCTAATATAGAAATATAATTGCTCATAGAACTCTTTCATGACTGTTTTTATTTGATTTTTATTAATAAGTAGTATGTTTCCTACCATTTCTTCAGCTATTCTTACAAATACATGTTGTTAATTATGCACATTTTAATCGGACCTTTTTTACAGGGCTTTGATGTTCAGAAAACGGATCCCAAAAAACCAGCAACTATGCTTTAAGACTATGCAAATTTGTAGACCTGGCCAATGTTTTTGGCTAACTCGCTTGTCGTGTCTAGTATGAATCACTACGAATGACTTGGGATTCTGATTCGGATTTGGTTCGGAGCATCCAAACTCGTTTCGATCATCAATTTTAGGCCTGAAAATTTTCAGACTACATGTGTTGCCTTGTCTGGACTCAAGTTTTTTTTTTGATTGCCCATTCTTCGCCTTAATTACGAAAATGTATGCTTTGAGTGCTGTAATTAAAATTCAAAAACACAATGAAATATAAGCTTTAAATACGTGCTTGGCCTTTATGTAAAACAAATGTCAAAGTCAGAGCGAAAATCAGGTTGAGCGACAAAAGATTTATAATTGTGGTTAGATCTTGGATGTATGTTTTCAAGCCAATAAATATTTGTTTTCGTTCTTTCTCTTTGGTTGCCGGGCGATAGATCAAGCTTAAACCAGTGTGTATTCATTTATTGATATTGATTGTGCATTTGTGAGGCAAAACTTGTTGGTGATTTAATAGAGGTGTGTTTTCCAGATGGGTGTTCAGCCCTCAAGTTTTTTGGCTTGGTCTTGGACTTGCACAGTGAAAAAAGCAGATGCCATTATTTTCTCGGGATTATTAAGGTGCAATTATCTAAGAAATTTATTTTAATTGAAACAGCAAAGGCTGTGGAAACTGGTGGAAATGAGCAAAACCCATATTTAGTGGTTTCAAAAATAGAATGATGATGCCAAACCAAATACTTGTATATCTATTTAAATTGAATCTATACTTGTCATTTTGCCACCATTTCTTGTTTCACAGCTCGAGGTTTCTGTGCCCACAACTTCGGTTTCCACTTTGATATAGTTGAGTATTCTCTGGTAGCCGCCGGGGCTCTTTAAATATTTGTGCAGTTCACTTGCTTGAGGATGATGGCAAATGTTTGCCCCGGGTCTCGGCCCTCGCCAGTGGCCATAAAACAATTGCGGAACCAGCGTAAAGACGCGACAAATTGTTTGGCCCAACAGCAACAGCAACAGCAACTGGCGAACTGGCGAACTGGAGGCTGGACCCCTTTCTTGGTACCCCGCCGCCCCAATGGCCCCAGTGTCCCCCTTTTTGGGGCACACATGGATGTTGGGCACACTGGCGTACCAACTTGTATTTCGGCCACGTCTGGAGTTCGAATCGCCGACGATCGTTATGAGAAAAACGATGCTTAAATAAGACAGGCACGGTGAGCTCTTAAATAACGTTTGCCAAATTGCATTTCAGTTAAACATTTTGCAAAGGCCCACAAAACGTTGTTTACACGCTGCTCTTGGCCAACTCTCCAACTGAAAATCTTGAGATGTGGGCGTGTGTGCCTCCATGACAGAATCTTTGATCAGTAAATCATAGGATTGCCCATTTATGAGTGGCACAGACCATCAATCTTGTATCCAGTGCTGAAACGTTGCTTTGATGTTAATTACTTGCAATTAGCTTATTTTATGCCTGTGCGAATAGTCTGTGGTGCTTTTATATTTCTGGCATGTTTTCAAGAGATATTAAACTGATTTTTCTGATATATGCTTCCCTTACAAATTATCGATCGATCGTTGATGAAATTCTAGTGCCTTCTGAGGCATTGTAAATATACATGTGTTCAAAACACGCTGCTAGTTCGTCATGAATGCGAAAACGCATTGGCTTTGGGTATTTGTTCCGTAAATTCAGGCAGAAATGCCGAATGGCAAACAGTTTCACAGCTTAGTTCGCAGGTAAACACAGTGAGAAGCGCGTAGAACGGCGCTCGGCATTTGTTGAGCATTTTTCGAATGCGGTGACCGACTTTGTGCACCTGCTCAAGGTGCGGAAAATTAGCTGAAGCACGCAGAATCTGAAAACAGGAAAAATCATTCACAGTTGTGCTGGGAGGGGCATTTGAGATGCAGCTCCAAATCGATTTTGAAATAATCGCGAAGGGACTCTTTCGACATGTGCGTTAATTCGTCAAAAACGACGCAGATCAATAGAGATTCGAAGGTTTCTGTCTGGCTTGATTACTCGGCACAAAATATGGTGGCTAAGTTCGGATCGCAGACCCTGACCTTCTCGCCAAGTGCGAAACGTGTCCGAGTACGAAAAACGAAATGGAATTAAATTTAATCATTGTTTTACGGCCGTAATCTGCGAAAGTGAAGGGCAATCGAAGGAAGTCGTCTGCTGAGATCAAAAAACAAAAACCTACTGTTGGTCGGTAGCTTTGCGATCAAAGCGCGCTAATTAAAAGCGTATTGAAAGCGAAATTAAGCCCGCAATTGTTGTGCCTTCTTTCATTGCAGAATATCTATTTGTTTTGCGCCCGCATAATAAACCCATCATCGTGACATCTTCCATAAACTATGGGAAACTGAACCCAAAAAAAAACTCAAAACTAGTTTTGGATCGTCGAGGGGGGCTACAAAAACCACTTTTGCGATCGCGTAACTCGCCCGCAATTACAAAATCAAGTTTACCAGAGTAGTAATGCTGCCATGCGACACTTGAGCATCGAGATCGAAGTGATATCCCCGCTGATTGGCATAATTAGTGGCATTTCTGCTGTCATCGGTGCGATTGTGCCGCGAAATGCCATCCAATTTGTCAAATGATTTTACGATCGCACATTGAGATAGCTGCGCAATTGGGTGAGACGGATTGGCACCTGCGAAATCGTAGCAAAAAGAATTTAAAAGGCTTATTTCACTTGCGATTCTATAATCAAGTCGCTCTTAACAAATTGTGGAAATGGCAGATGGGCTTATTGATTTTTTCGCCTTGACAATTGCGGGGCTTTTTTGGTGCTTGTTTTTTCCAAAACCGCTAAAAGCTGAGCTCTTCGTAATGCCACTAAAAATGTGGATGTAGTCATTACTGACCACACATGGCAAAACTAATATCTGCCATGTATTTTTATTGCCTCCGCAAGTTGATGTCCTCAGATACACAATAATATTAATGTATTTTTTATTTGCTGGCTAAGATTCAAATTTATCGTACACCTACTATTATACTACATAAATATACTTTTTTATTTCATGGATAGAGCATTTGCTCGTCGTAACAACCAGCACACATTGGCTCCCTAACTTTTTCCGACACGTGTTCACACACTTGAAAATTCGTCAGGTATATATCATAATGATTTATGAAGGCGGTTTGGTCTTCGTTGGTCACTCGTTTTTTTGTTTTGTGGGGAATCCCATAGATGTAACCTCGAAACGCTCGTGTTCTTGTACCATCAGTTATTAACATAACTTTGCTTTAATTATATAAGTTTCGAGCAACGCACACTGTTAATCAATTTGTTGCTGAAGTAATTCTTGGAAAACCTGTGTGGCTAATGTCTAATTAATTTATGAGTGATTTATTGCTGTGGCGCTGATGAGAAAATTGGTTATGGATGTAGAGCGGAT